AAAATAGATATACGTCATTCACGAATAGAATACTTTTTTTTTTCTATTGAAATTTTGAGATTTTTTTTTACATTATGAAGCGTCGTTTACGCTTTCCAAATTTTTAAGAATTTTAAAATTTGATCCTATAGTTATTAATAAGCAAGGAGTCTAAATATCGCTCACCAAAGTTCGCTCGACAGCCGAACAGCCCGCTCATCAAAGTTCGCTCACTAAAGATCGCTTACCTATTTACTCGATAGCCCTAATTAAAAAAATAATTATAAATTTAATTTATAGGCCTTTACTCGTAGAAAATAAAAAAGTAATTCTATGTGTTAATAATATACACCTATTTTTCTAATAAGAGAGATATAGGAGGGCGAGATTTTAATAATTATAAACGCTAATTTATTTACTCGCGATAAGTTAGTCGATCTAGTTAAAAAGCGTAGAGAATCGAAATTAATAATTAACTACATATATAAATTCAAGATTTTTAAACTTAGTTTTATCTTATTCTTTTATATATATTAATAATCTCTATAGAGATCTTAAATATAAAAGAAAAATATCTATTAAATAAGCTTATTAATATAGAATTTTTTACTTAAATAAGATTTAAAGATTTTTATATAGCTAATAAGAAAGAGCTTAATAAAAACGAATTTAATAAGATAATATTAATTAAAGAAAGTTTTAATAGCTTTATTAGCTTTATTAGCTATATAGTAAAATTATTAAAATCTCTAATTATTTTATAGAAGAAAGACTTATTAATAATTTAATTTAATAATTATAATATTAATAACTTAAATTCTAGAGAATTTAATTTAATTCTTATTTTATTATTTTATAACGAGTAAAGGCCTATAAATTAAATTCATAATCATTTTTTTAATCGGGGCTTCGAGTAAATTTGTAGCGACTTTGGTGGATATTTGAATTCCTTACGCTTTAATAATTATAAGATCGAATTTCGAATTTTTTATTATTAAGAGCGTAAGTTTTAGACTATAATTTGATAAAAGTCTTAAAATTTTAATAGAAAATAGTAAAGTTATTAGAGGTTAAAGTAGAAGAAGGATTTTTAATGGTTATGAACGCTAATTTATTTACCCGCGGTTCTAATCAAAAAGCGTAGACCTAACGAATTAATAATTAACTGTATATATATTCAAGGTTTTCTATTTAGCTCTATCTTTTCTTTTTATATATTAATATAGATAAAGCTCTTAATAGCTCTAAAGACTTAAGTATATAAATAATAAAATATTAAATTATAGATATTATTAAAAGCTTTAATAGATTAAAGTATAAATATATTATTTTAATAAAGTCGTCGATTTAAAAGATTAATATAATTACTCTTTAATTAATATAGATATAAATAATATCGATATTAAGAAGATATTTTATTAGATTAAAATTACTTATTAAATTAATAAAGTAATAAAAACTTTAATTAATAAATAAAAGAGTATTAGCGAAAGACTTAGATAGTAGAATAGCTATAAAGAATTAAGTAATAAAGTACTATTAAATAAATAAATAATAATAAAGAAGCTTTTAAATTATTCGATAGTAAATTAATATCGAATAATAGTATTACTATTATATTATAAGAGTAATATAGAAATATAAGTATAATAAGTAGTATATAGTAAAGATGATTATTCTTCTATTAAGAAGTAACTACTTATAATACTAAGCTAAGGTTCTTATCAAGGTACCTCCTTAACAGGTACAAAGGTAGGTAAAACCATGTACCCATACAGTCACGACAGCTTACTGTGACAATCCGGGGTGAATATGCTATGAGTTCATCCGGGGTGAAGCGAGCATATGCCGAAGCTTCACCCCAGTGAACCCATAGATATGCTACGTATCCGTTTCACCCCGGTGAACTCGGGCCGGGTCGAAAATAATGTCGGCACTTTAGGGGATCAAGGCATATACTAAGCATATGCCTCAATCTCCGTAATCTGTTCGGACGGATTGATTCTCCAAACCTCTCCGGGGCCAGGTCCTGAATACGGTACAAAATCAGGTGGCTGGAAAACATGGTGGCTGGAATGCGCGGAAAATTTGCGATAGATAAAATTTGTGGGTAGTTACCCCGCGTGGGCTAACGTCGCTGACTAATTTTCTTCACCCCCGATGGGTGCTGGCATATGCTGAGTGTATCCCTTTCCCCCGGACGAGGTGCATATACTTAATCTACTCACCCCTGCCGAACTTTTTTCACCCCTGCCGAGCTTAAGCCCGTCGAGCTGTAACCCGGAGCTGGGGAGGAGATAATCAGAAAGGATCGTCTTGCCGAGGCACTTATAATTAAACCCGTGTCTTAATCTCCGCGAGGGACCAAAAACCCCACCACCGGAGCTGGTGGAGCCACCTGCAACTTTCGTCTCCCTGCCCCAGGTGAATACAGACGTTGAGCTGGAGTTCTAGGGTCAATCCGTCATCAATTGTAGGCGTCAGGGATCTCTTCTGACTCGATTCGACATTTGCTGACTGTTGATCATCGTGTCCAAGAAACCTTTCCCCAGCGGCCAAGATCCCGTCAACATCTTCCGTTCACCCATTTGGTCATTTGCCTTAATATCGTTCCCTCGGACAACTTGCACACCCTTAAGTCTGACGTATTGGGGTACACAACTCCTCTGATCAACCACAACTGACCAGTTCACATCACACCTGTCAAGACCACCAAGTCCATCTCCGCCTAACAGCACTTCTTCAACATGTCGAACACTGAAGCTATCATTCAAAGCGTTTCCATTCTCGGTGCTCTTAATGACCAAACCCGCATGATCTTAAGCAAAGATGCAACAGCCTTTCTTGCTCTACTGCACCGTTCGTTCAATGAGAAGCGCAAAGACCTCTTAGAACGCCGGGACACCCGCCAAGCTGAGCTGGACAAAGGAATCCTGCCAGACTTCTTGCCGGAGACTAAGCATATCCGTGAGAACGATGCTTGGAAAGGTGCCCCGCCAGCGCCAGGATTGATCGACAGGAGAACCGAGATCACAGGGCCCACGGACCGAAAGATGGTTGTCAATGCTCTGAACTCCAATGTCTGGACCTATATGGCGGATTTCGAAGGTTCGTATTCGCCTGTATTTCTATGTCCGATGCTGACCCTGCTCAAGATTCCAGTGCACCGACATGGGACAACATGGTCAATGGTCAGGTCAATTTATATGACGCTGTTCGAAAGCAAGTCGACTTCAAGCAAGGAGAGAAGGAATACAAACTCCGGACGGACAGGAAGCTCCCTACTCTGATTGCGCGTTCTCGAGGGTGGCACATGGTGGAGAAGCACTTCACAGTCGATGGTGAACCAATATCTGCAAGTCTATTCGACTTCGGTCTCTACTTTTTCCACAACGCACAAGAGCTGGTCAAGACCGGGACAGGGCCATACTTTTACTTACCGAAGATGGAGTCACATCTCGAGGCGCGTCTGTGGAACGATGTTTTCAACCTAGCCCAGGACTATATTGGCATGCCGCGTGGAACTATCCGAGGGACTGTTCTTATCGAAACCATTGTAGCAGCCTTTGAAATGGAAGAGGTAGATCTGCTTATCTGTGGGACGTTGATTATGCTGATGCTTCAAGATCATCTATGAGCTCCGTGACCATAGTTCTGGCCTGAATTGTGGTAGATGGGATTACATCTTCAGCGTGATCAAAAAATTCCGTCAGAACTCCAATTTTGTCCTCCCGGACCGCTCCGCAGTCACAATGACTGTTCCTTTCATGGATGCTTACGTCCAGCTTCTCATCAAAACATGCCACAAACGAGGGGTACATGCTATGGTAAGTTGAGCCCATTCCCAATCACAGCCTTGAGCTCAGACATTTCAGGGCGGCATGGCAGCTCAGATTCCTATCAAAGACGATAAAGAGGCGAACGACAAAGCTATGGCAGGCGTTTATGCGGATAAACTCCGTGAAGTACGCGCAGGCCATGACGGCACGTGGGTGGCGCACCCAGCGCTGGCAAACATTGCGAATGAGGTGTTCAACAAGCACATGCCAACGCCCAACCAGCTATTTGTGCGAAGAGAAGAGGTGCGTATAACCGCCAACGACTTGCTCAACATGAAAATGCCGGGCACCGTTACGGAAGAAGGCATCAGGAAGAACCTCAATATCGGCCTCGGGTATATGGAGGGTTGGCTAAAGGGGATTGGTTGCGTCCCAATCAATTATTTAATGGTAAGGCATCCCAGCCATGGAGTCCCCGCATTGACTGACACGAGTGGCAATGTTTTAGGAGGACGCGGCAACTGCCGAAGTCAGTCGATCCCAATTGTGGCAATGGTGTAAACACGGTATCACAACAGCTGAAGGCACGAAGGTCGACAAAGTGTATGCGCAGAAGCTTCTCAAAGAACAGGCAGACGAGTTGTCCTCGAAAGCGCCAAAGGGGAACAAGTATCATCTTGCAGCTCAGTATTTCTCCGGTCAAGTCACTGGGGAAGACTATGCAGGCAAGTCTCATCCAAGGCTCTCGTTTTGTTGATCGGTGCTAATAGGTCGGCAGACTTTTTAACAACACTACTGTACAATGAAATCACGTCCGTAGGTCCTGCAGCCAAGTTGTAAAAAGACACCACCGGCGCAGTTTTTGGGGTTTGAGCATGTTCAATGGGTCATGACCGTAATCCGAGCTTGATGTTTCAAGTTTTGTTGACATAACATGTGTATGCTAGTCGATCGTGTGTTGTAAATAGCATCCTCGCAGAGACGTCTCAACCGGTATAAAGCATATTCTTTGGATCTGTCCAGTGAAAACCCAAAGAGGAGAGTTTCAAACCAAAGTACTATGCTCTCGAAGCAGGCCTAAGCTCAGGTATAGATGGCTGTAGAACACGCCTGAAACCTAACGCCGGCTATGTTCTCAGTCACCTTTCAGGATGCATTTTCGAGCTAGCTATCATGCTCTGGAGGCGGTTTTAGTTAGACACAATAAATGCAATCCGTCTTTTCTGTTAGCCAGGTATGTATTCATCGTTGCAGACTCTCGTCTCTTATCTTCTCCCTTCTCCTTTGTATGTCTTGCGCTATTCTTCGCTGCTCCTCTGCGATATTAGCTCTTTGACGAGCTTCGTCTTCGGCAGCGGCTATCCATATTGGTTTGTCGGATTTGGAATATTCCTTGAGTTTGTTGACAAAGTTGTCAAAATCTTGCTGTTTCTGCTCCCTGTTCTCCAACGATCTCTTCTGGAGTTCTGGATTGTATTTCTGCTCCATATCAGCACATGTCCTGGGGGTGCAGCGGTCTGTAGACGACGTGCCTTGAACAATTCTTCTTCGGTAGGAGATACCCAGTAGACAAGGGCTGGGCCACCAACGCATATGACGACACCGCTAGGAACGGTCAAATGACATCTGCAATCATGAGGACAATTGGGCTGTGTCTCTTACGTGGACAGCATCTTGAACCAAAGCGCCGCTTTTGACATGATGGCAATTGAAGCCGTGAACGTCGATCCTTGTGGCCTAACGGATTCCGAGACTCGATGTGTCCGATATAGCAAAAGGCAATGTAAGGCAATGTAAGGCAGTGTAAGGCAGTGTAACAAGGTAGGCTGTCACTTATTGAAGAATCAAACACGAACCATGGAGAAAGTCATAAGAGCGGCGATTTCACTCTAAGAAAAGCAATGGTCTGCACCGCCACCACCGCCACATGTGAATGAGCCACATCAACAGACAGTGTAGGCCAATCGACTCCCTCACATTCTCAAGACCCGATTGGGAATGACGAACCCTATACAGCAGCCGTACGATTACTCAGCCTCGAGTTCCTGTAAAAAAAATACCGTACGCGAGCAATGTCTGGGTCGTGAATGTTTCCAATTCCTGTGCGGGCCCATGTTTTCAGGCTCTGTCAATCCGCTCCTTTGTTAGGCCTTGTGCTCCTGTTTTTTTGCATCACCCACCCCTGGATATCGCAGAGACTACGGTATTCTCGTGGTCTGGAAGTTATTCTTTGAAAGCGATCGTTCTATACTGTCAAAGTCTCACAGACTCCTTCAACCTACAATTCCTAAGCGTCCGCATAACAACTTCGATCTTTGTGCGAGTATCATCAATATCTTGAGGTTTACGGAGGTATTTGAGAGGAACCCGTTCATTATTCACATCAGGAGCGCGCGTTACCTTACATATTCATCAGGAACACATTAAAGATGAGCACCGGCTGAAGAGCAATTAGATTGCGTGTAGGGGATCTCATTGCCGTGACGCCGTCTGAACCAACTCTACCTCTGGCAATCTAATAAGCAGCCAATTTGGAGTCATGGCATATGCTCAGCAGCCACGATATGGCGGCCCACAAAGACCGCCCTACCAAGACCAGCAGCCCTCATATGGGTCTTCTCGAGAACCTTACGCTGCGAAGAATGGGTACGGCTCAAGAAGTCAAGCGGCGCACTTCAGTGGTAGCTCTCGACGGGGTCGTCCGCAGGTATTTCAAAGTACCAGTGAGCCATCAGGTGGATCCTACAGATACAACGAGGATTGGCCTGATCAAGACAACTCTTACGATGGCGGCAATGGGCGGCACGGAGGCAGGGGCCAAAACAGGGATGGAAGGTGGCCGCCCGCACAACGGCCACAGGGGAGACCAATGGAGGCAGGACGACATCCTCGCAATGATCCTCGAAGTCGAGGCTTACCGCAATCAAAAGTTGCAGCACCCGGTAGAGATCACTATCACCAGCAGGACCCGTACTACCAGTCGAACCAATATCGTGAGCCACAAGGTTATGAACGGCACTATCAACCAGAAGCAATGCACCACAATGGCTTACAGGAACACAACAACGGCGAGCATGAGTACGATGAATTTTCTCACGAGACCCCAGACAATTCGACAGCAACGCAGCACTACAATCGTCCTCCTCACAGCGACGAACAGGATTACCAAGACCCCGAATACAATGCTGGGTATCCTCAGCAAGACCGAGGAGGTCCACACGACCGAGGGATCTCTTCAGGCAACTTCAGGAACGATCGACCTCCTAGACAGCCGGAAGCACCAACATCTAGGTTCAACCAGAACCAACCCCACTCCACCAGACCTCAAAACTCTCAGCACCCGAAACCCTGTAAGTCGGCCAAAGCGTGACAGGAAGCTCAAACGTGTGTATCGAAATGCCAGCTGACCATTGGTTCAGCTACTGATAGGGTCATCCAAACACCGATATCGCATGATGCAGTCGCCTGGGATAATCCCTTTCCAACATTTCCCTTGAGGCCCAATAAAGTCGGATATGCAAATTCCACGGGTCATGATGGTGCCATGGGATCAACAAGCCTGCGTGATGACTCGCGGCAAGACAAGACTTACGACAATAGGCCGCAAACTGCAGGCAGCAAGAGCAGCTATGCTTTGTCGCCTAATGGCACAGAGAAGCTGAACGGAAATGATCTTCAATTTCAATCAAACACTCCGCCTTCAGCTATATCGGAAACAAATTCCAATAGCAAAGGTGGAGGATACTTCGATCACCAGCCACAGCCTGAAAGGGATGCAGGGCAGTACCGAGGAACAGCACAAGACAGGCCTAGACCTCGCGACAATGGTCGTCGTGGTGCGCGGGTAGATCAACTCAAGCCTATAGTCAACGGTCGACACTCAGAAGACAACCGGACGAGACCATCACTTCCACTTGACACCAGAATGGACACAGAATATGAGCGAAGCAGAACTCTGCCAACGGCGCTCTCTGGAGCAAACCTGGGATCTGCTCGCCCACCAGATCAGTCGGCCTGGCAGGAGCCTGGTTTCGTTGCTGGTTACCACGGTCCTGAAGACAGAGGGTATACGCCAACCAGTCCAGCAAATAAGTCTCCGCAAGGATCTTTTCCTCAGCCCAAACCATATTCGGATGAAGGTAGACCAACCCAAGTCGACGCAGTGGTTCATGCACAAAGCACGGGTTCTCGTCAGCCACATGCCCAAAACGACAGTCTCGGCGAATTCTTTGACACTTATTATGACACAAGCCAGGATGACCACCAGCCATATCTCCAGCACAAAGGTCGACAGCACCGATCTCCCGCTGACGAAGATATGCCAAACTTTGACGGTGGACCTGCGCCGAGCGCTGGTCGTAGACGAGGGATGACCATCGACGACCATCTGCAGCCACAACCAAGAACTCAAGAATTTCCACCAGTGCCAGTTCCGCCACGGGACGATGTACGTGGAGACCATAGGAATGATCCATCTTCGAATGCGAGACATCCCCGGAGTAGATCACAACCCAATTTCAAAGACCGGCGATCACCGAGGCCACCGCTCGATGATGGATTCGACTTTGGTGTGCCTGGAGCTCCCGATAGACCGTCTGCGACAGCTCCCGCTCGAAATGAGTATGGTCCTAGCGCCCATAGTACTATGGCATCTCCCAATGTAAGGCCAGATCACTACCAACAAGACCGCCAGTATCAGGGATCAATGCCTTTAAAAGGATATCGTCCCAATGATCACAACAGAGCAAATATGCCGCCTCCCGCACCCGCTACACCCCTAACGGCATATCAAGGCAACGGGCCGCCTGACCGATATTGTTCACCGCCAGTGCAAGATGGACATTCGCGACAGATGGGACCGCCTGGTGGTAGACCATCTCCAATCAACAATCGAACAGGACCCACGTCGCCCCCTATCGCGTCACCATCAAATCCGGATGCATTACCATCGCATCCTGCGCCAGTCAGACCCGGTTTAATGCAAAGCTCTCCCGTCAATGAAGCGCCGAAGCCAGTTCCTCTCAGGCAGTACGACTCCACACCCTCGCCCATGCAATTATCGAGTCCCACTAAAAATCCAGGATTCTCGCGCTCCATAAACATCAAACAAGAGTCTCTGCCAGTGACTCATCAGGAGCTTGAAAGACTTAAGCAGGCCACGACGAGGAACCCTGACGACCCAAAAAATCAACTAGTCTTGGCCAAGAGAATGGTTGAAGCGGCTTCCGTTCTAGTTGATGAGCGAGCTGATCCGAGGACACGCAACAAAAGTCGTGAGAAATACATCCTAGATGCTCACAAAATTGTCAAGAAACTTTCCAATAATGGATATAGCGAAGCTACGTTCTACCTGGCCGACGCGTATAGCCGCGGATCACTAGGCTTGGAATCTGATACTCGAGAGGCTTTCAAGCTCTATCAATCAGCGGCAAAAGCAGGCCATGCTCAAGCCGCCTACCGAGTGGCAGTATGCTGCGAGATAGGACATGAGGAAGGTGGAGGTACAAGCCGGGACGCTGTGAAAGCTATGCAGTGGTATAAAAGAGCCGCGACTCTGGGCGACACGCCCGCCATGTATAAGATGGGCATCATTTCATTAAAAGGATTGTTGGGCCAGCCAAAGAACGCCAAAGAAGCCGTTGTCTGGTTGAAACGAGCGGCGGAACGCGCGGACGAGGAGAATCCACATGCTTTGCACGAACTTGTGAGTCCGCCGATCACAGTCAAAATTGCGGGGCATGATGGAAGCTGACACTATCGCAACCTAGGCTCTTCTGCACGAGAAACCCAGCAGCAATGAGGGTGTACCAAGGGACGAAGCATACTCGAAGCAACTCTTCGCTGAAGCAGCCGATTTGGGCTACAAGTTTTCGCAATTCCGTCTCGGTTGCGCGTATGAATACGGGCTGATGGGATGCCCGGTTGATCCCAGACAAAGTATTGCTTGGTACAGCAAAGCAGCAGTGCAAGAGGAGCATCAGAGCGAGCTTGCCTTGAGCGGTTGGTACCTTACGGGGTCTGAAGGGGTACTGCAGCAAAGTGACACAGAGGCCTATCTCTGGGCTCGTAAAGCTGCTCAGTCGGGGCTGGCGAAGGCTGAATATGCTATGGGTTATTTTACAGAAGTGGTATGTCCTGACCAATTTCACAGTCCTCATCTTCGACAACAGTGCTTACTCCGAATTACTTATAGGGAATCGGAGCTCCCGCAAACCTTGAAGACGCAAAGCGCTGGTATTGGAAAAGTGCAAGCCAAGGCTTTGAGAAAGCAAGAGGTAGACTCGAAGAACTAAGGCGAGGGAACCCAGCGAAGCAAAAGACTCGAGTCTCGCGATCTGCCATGAGGAGGAACAGTGAGGGAGAGTGTACCATAATGTGATCATAGGGGAGTGGGGACACAAATCCAATCCGACTTACTTGGAAAGCGTGAGGATAAGCAGCACCATCGACCATGGAGGCTTGTGTATATCATACCGGTTGAACCTGCCGAAAAAGTCAATAACGCACCGTTGATGTTGACAAGAGTCGGTGAAGAAAAAGTAATCTATGAAGCAATCTCTGAAGCATCTCTGTACAGTCTTGTATAATAGACGTCGGCTTTCGGGCAGTCTTGCACGTAGGCTTTTATCTAACTTTCGTAGGATCTTGGGTATCAAGCCGAAGGAATTGATGGGCAGCTCACCGCATCGGTATTGTCTAGGTACTTGAGATCCAAGGGATGGCTCCATCCCCTCGAGGACGAGGACAGGTTCTTGGCAGCGGAATATAGTGGACCCGATGTGATTGAGTATTTAGGGCTAGGGCTAGGGTTCGGGCTAGGGCTACACGGCGATTCATTGTAAAGACTGTGAGGAAACAGCATGTAGGCAGGTACGCCCCCTCCTTGTGCGTTGAGATTTCCTTGTGAATCACAGCCTTGCGTCTCTCCGATCCCAGTGTCACACAAAGACAGATCCGAGAGGGGCTTGCCGATACCGCCCCGACGATTAGCAATCAAGAGGATTGCCAATAAAATATCGCCTTGCTTTGCAAACCTAGGTCTATTGTAGTAATACACCCCTTGAATTAGGAAGTTAGTTGGCTTTTTGCCCGTACTGAACAATGATATAAAACATCAGACCTCCGAGTCCAGTGGTACATGTCTTTTGGCCTTCGTTCTCCAACCATCACGGCCCTCTCTCTCTCCTGGTCTCGATCCTAGCTGTTTCACTCGCATCCCAGGCTTCCTCGCCCTGGGAAGACTTCACTTCTACTCTCAAACAAGACTGGTCAAACAAACTGCGCGCTGATTCGCCTATCCTCAAAAGTGCCGTCAGCATCTCCACTACAAAACTGATGGCAGCCAAAACCCCTGTCTTCTTGTGCGTTCTTTCTCCATCTCCCATGCTCTATGAGATCTTTACGTCTTGGTCCATACTAACCCCTCATCACAGCCTTTCCCATGGTGGAGTAAGTCAGCCTTTAGCTGGTTCCATGAGATAAATCGTCCCTCCTCCTGCGAATATGTACTTGCGCTAACCCGTAGAGGCCAGCCCAACGTCATGTATGATCTTAACCACCCGGTGTATAAGAAACTGCAGGGCATAGGCAAAGATATCACAACAAAAGTGAAGCCCAAGGCCGTCGTTGTATTTTCCGCACATTGGCAGTCAGAAGGAAGCAACAAAATCCAAGTCAACACAAAAGAAAACGCGGACTTGATTTATGAGTAAGGGGATTCAAAATGCTTGTTGATCAATAATCTGACCGGAATGCAGTTTCTGTGGATTTCCCGGACACTATTATCAAGGTAATTCACCCGGGCATGAAACTAGGGAATGCTGAAACTTCGCAAAGAGAAATATCCAAACGTTGGCAGCAAGCAAGTAGCTGCGTTGGTCATAGATGCGCTCCGATCAAATGATATCGAGGTTGAACCGGTCGACAGAGGCCTGGATCATGGAGTCTGGGCGAGCTTCAAGGTGGCTTTTGATCCAGAAGAAAACCCTTTGAACGTACCCCTCGTGCAAGTCTCTCTCTTCTCTTCAGAAGATCCTTACCAACATTACAACCTGGGCCGAGCGGTGGCCAGTCTTCGCTCGCGAGACATTGCCATCATCGTCTCTGGCATGGCCGTGCACAATCTCCGCGATTTTCGATTCACCGCGGGAACTTCGCGGCCAATGCCCTACACGATTAGCTTTGATGAGGCCTTGAAAGACGCCGTAACCAGTCTTCCTGCAGAGCGTGAGCAGAAGATGGCAAATCTCCTCACGCGACCAGATGCGAGGCAAGCACATCCAACATTTGATCATTTGCTACCCATCTTTGTTGGTGCGGGTGCAGCAGGAGACGACGTTGGGGAGCGGCTATGGACCCTGAAGGAAGGTTCTTTCAGTTGGGCTCAGTACAGATTCGGTGAAGTGGGGGCCAATTAACGACTCAAATTTGAGAGACCGATGCCTCGAACAGACTCTCCTAGGGGTCGACGAGGTTTTCGGTAGGCACAAAGCGAAGGCAAAATTTCTCGTTTGTACAATATCAATGGATGAAAAGCCTCGACAACGGCGAGCTCCAGTGGCAAACAACCCCTATGTGTAGATTACCAACAATCCAGGAAACACAAGGAACGCAAGGTTTGCGTGACAAGACTCTCAAAGTTGCAACATGAGAAAATGGAAGCCCTAAGAAAGGCAGACTTTGATGGCCACAGGCCCCGAAGGGTGCAATATTGAATGTCGGTAGAGACCTCTGGTCTGAAACCTGAAGGCAAATGAATTGTAAAAGGAGTGGTTTCAATTCAAGCAGTTACTGGAATAGTGACTATCTTCCAAAGAGACCAAGCTCCCCTTAATCTTCTTCCCTCCTATCTACACTGGCTCCTTGACCAACACCGTTATCCTTTCTTCAATCTCTTTGTCGTTGAGACCTTCAACATATCGGTCAGCTTTGGAAGTTCGATCTCATACATTTATAGGCACCCTACCACTTAGTGATTCCCGCTTTTCCTTGCCGTATTCTGCGTGTATGCATCAGCTCTGGCTCAAACGCCGTGCAAGGACCAAAGCGTACCGTATCTGGCGAAAACAGTCGGCTCGGTATCCAAAGCTTCCCTAAGCATAATTGGTGTATGCGGATTATTCTTTTTCATGGTGGGATAAGCTCTTATAAGAAACGACCTGAGCCGGGCGCTTTTTAAGTCTGTGCGTTTGCTAGAATGAATGCGATTGCTCGAACCTTGTAGCTGCGCTGTGGTCCGAAGTCTGGCAGAAAAGGAAGCGCACCTCCTTGAGGGACTTGGTGAAGGCATACTTGCCCGACATGGTGGATTGGTAGCTGTCAATTGAAGGCGAAGCTATGGTTCCGAGTTCGAGCATCGCCATTCAAGCTCTAGAGTAGTGCCGGAGATTAAATTTACTGCCGGCTGACCGGCGACTCCAACATCTGCTTCAATTCCCCGACCTCCATCATCAGCTTCATCTGCCAGACTCCGCTGCTGTCTACCCTGTCAACATGTCCTCACGAGCTGGTCTGCGATTCTTTCAGAGCGCGAGGTTCTCCCGCGCTTTTACTAAAAAGCCATTGGGAAGAAGATACCGGACTGCAGATGCGACCGCTGCTCCTACAGAAGGAATTGTTCAGCGATTATGGAACAGTCCTGTGGGTGTCAAGACTGTGCATTTCTGGTAAGGAGCTTTTACCCTACGATTCGTCAATCACTGATATCGTGTAGGGCCCCAGTCATGAAGGTGCGTCTACGAAAATGCTCCGTAATACCAATGGAACCTCGCAACTGACTTCAGGACAGTGGAGCATTGTCCTCGCCGGAATTAGTGACTTTGCTCGACCAGCTGAAAGTCTCTCCCTGACCCAGAACGTCGCTCTCACAGCCACCGGCGTAATTTGGACTCGGTGGTGTTTTGTCATTAAACCGCGAAACCTTCTGTACGAACAGACATCAATCTAGGTGTTTCCTTTCAAAGCGAGACTAACAACCTTCTCAGATTGGCTGCCGTAAACTTCTTCCTGGGGTGTGTAGGTGTGACGCAAGTGATTCGGATCCTCACGCATCAACAGAGCCAGGAGGCTGCTTCAGCGGGGCAGATCGCAGAGCAGGACGCGAAAGATATAGCAAACACCGTCAAGGGCATTGCAACAGATCCTGAGGGCGCGGCGCAAAAGGCTGTGAAATGAGCAATGTTTTGTTCAATCGTCAGCGCGGGGGCTTGAATTATGATGTCGCTGCGCATTGTCCCGTCTCACCATCAGCTGTGCTTCCGTCACCAACGTGGATAGACAGATGGAAGAAGAATGATGAGTTGGACATCTATCCTGCCATCCTGACTGTTTGGTCCATGGCCATTCCTATAGGAACTAGGCCATGAATTCGAAGAGTAAATCCATCCGTGACTAGAGCTAAGTGCTACTGCTATCTCCAATATCAACCAGAGAACATTCACCCGATTCAGTCAACAGAGGTAACATTTCAAACCAATTAACCTTAACCTCTGCCATGCCATGAGGCTCCTGCTTGCTACCAAGACTGAACCAGCGACATACACCGAAGTCAGTCAATACTAGCAATACTTGGTGTCCTCCACACTTTGTTGTACTCTTTCCCAGATTCAACCAACGGCACCCACCGAAGTCAGTCAATGTAGGAATAACGAACACAGATTTTTTTTGTGAGGTCTGCCATGCCAACGCTTGGTCCTCCGAAATTGTGTAATCGAAAAGGATGAACCCTCATCATCCCGCACGCTATGCTGGTCGAGACCTGGTTTATGTGACAGGCCGTAATTTGACAACAGTGATGTGATTTGAGAAGACCGACTCCAGCAGATATGACCCCCAGCATATCCGATGTGGAACTTTCGGATACCGCACGCTATGCCGAATGATGAGGCGCTGAGATGGACGATGCTAAAAAGATTCCCGAAACATGACGACTCTACGTTATGCTCTCTGATGAAATTGCTGGACTGTGGGACGGCTTGATGGGCCTAGCGCTACTCGTGAATATAGGAAGTCGATGGACAGCACTTAATGCCGCGTGGATAGAATGCCTAGTGATAAAAGGTGTTATGCAAAGTGGTGAATGCTACCGGCATCGAGACCGGAGTGCCAGCTCCTCTCTATTCGTCCTTTAGATTGCAAAAATTGGTGTTGAGATATGTGTCCATCCAGTTCCAGAAACACCAGTACCAACTCGCTCTAGACCAGTCAAAGTCGCCGTTCTCCGTTAGATGAGGTCCGTTGCCAATGAAATCACCAGGGATCACGCCCCAGCTTCTGAGCCACTGGACCTGTCGGTCGGTCCAGGTTGGCTGAGGCAAGAATGCTTCAGTTGCAGGACGAAGTACGGTGCGTGGCCGGTCGGTAAAATATCTCATCATGGCAAGATTGGACTCTGGAACCGATGCATTTGTAAGTTTTTGAGTAGTAGAAGAGGACCTATTGTCTTCGGCCTGAGATGGGTGACGGTTGCGGAGATCAGGATCATCCGGACCAGTGGCCGTGGCCGATGATGCTGTAGAGGAGGAAAATGATGCGACGTCATTGGGTCGTTGATTGTTTGCCTGTGTAGTAGCGGGCATGCCGAAAGACCTCGGAAGTGTAGATGTTGGACGTTGCTGATTGATCGCATGCTGCGAGAAGGCGGCACTCAGTGTCTGAGGAGGCCTGCGTTGAGGTTTTGGGCTTCCAAAGGATCCTCGCCGTTGGCGTTCTTCCCGGACTGGAATGGGCAGGTCAGTTTCGGGCCGCGTGCCGTTGTATAGCTCGGCGTACACCCAGTGTCCATGAACCTGTTGCGGTGACATCTCCACAGCTCGGTCCGCAGCTTCTGCTGAATCGCAAGTGAGCCGCACCCAGCTTTCGCCTCCAGCATAATGTCTAGCCATCTCACGCTCTGGATCAGTAAGTTTTCTCGGGTGGACAGAAGGTGAGCTGAGGGTGTTGGGATATCTTCGCAGCTCGGCAGGTGGTCGACGAGCGTAGTCCTCGCAGATCAGGCCATGGGAAATCTTCTCGTAGGTATCGATAGCCGCCCATTGTGTACTTGGCGCGAAGCCGGACACTATGATCTGTGTCGGCTCTTTGTTGTGCGAGGGCCGATGATGTGAGGCAACATTGCCATCATTCTGGCTTCGTGTAGATGCATTCGCCTGCCGGGGGGACTCGATGGCTCGCTGAGTGTCGTAGTTCAAGGCTGACAGAAAACCGTCCAAGGTAGGGTTGATTTCTTTCTTTGCTGGAGTTGCACTTCTGGTTCTAGAGGGAGTTTTGCGTCGTGTCGATTTGCCGAATGAGCCTTTCTCTTCGACAAGGCGTTTCTGACCACGCGGGGCATCAGGGTGACCGCTACGCGGAGGTCAGTAAGTCGGGTAATGAAGCTGGGAAGAGATTGGTACGCTGGATACTCAAGGGCGAAGGGTAGCTTGCCTCCTTTGCCATCGGGGGCTCGCTCCTCGAAAGGGACGCCATGGAATTGCGTTGGTCGGCCCGTGCCTGGCATCATTGTTTGTCTCTTTATTAGAGGAAGAGAGCCGGAGTGTCTTGGGAAGGTATTCGTGAGGTGCTACACGCTTGTTGTAGATGCAGAGCCTACTTCATAATAGGTCGGCGGCACTGGCGGGTATCTCACAGACGGATAAGGCTGAAAGGGGATTGTCAGGTGTCGATTAGAATGGCATACGCTACTGCAAAGGCTAACCCCCATATAGATTAGGTGATAAATCTACGCGACTCCTCAAAAGTCGCTCACTCGGGCAAGCATAAAGCTATTTAAATGGTTGATTATGTTCCATCGCCGAGGTTCCTATATCTAAAACTGTAGAGACCCCCGCTTAGAGGGTTGTTTGTCCCCTTCCATCAGCCTATATTTAGCCCGATTAATAGAAGAACGACGACAGAAAGGTGGAAAGATAAAGAAACTGTGTGTACGCGTCTGTTACTTATCACCTAATCTATATGGGGGTTAGCCTTGCATTAGCGTCTGCCGTTCTAATCGGGACTGAATTGTCGAAGAAGGGGGGTCCTCTGATCTGTGCCATCAGATTTTCCTTCTTCTCTTCTTCTTCAAATTACAAAATTGCATGTCTGCCGCATACTTCCTGCGTTCGCAGCCCAGTACAGTCACCATATCTACTCCCCTCGCTCACTCGCATATCGTTGCATCGAGTGGTGAATTCAGCTTTTTCCGAACCCGGTGGATGCCCAGTATATCGATACAAGTCTGCCAGACTGCTATTCAATTATCTACAAATTCGTTTGCCCTGTCTGATTTCCCCTTCCTGCTCTGACCCCTTGACTTCTCGCCTCTCCCTCTCCCATGATATCCCCCACCTCCTTCAGCCCGACCAGCACCACCACGACTGGCACCGGCCTTCCCTCCCTTGCCTCCATCTCGGCCACCTCCTCTGCCAGCGTTTCTTCCCATGTTGAACTCGATCCTTCTCAGGGGCTGCTCAATCCACTCGGTACCCGCCAGCTTCAGTTCCGCTTTCAGTTCGTCGTTCATCTTCCACGGCTGGAAGACGATCTGAGGCTCGTTCAAAGAGCGTAGTTCCACCACCCAAGTTTTGATATAATTGCCCTGGGTGTCGTAATCGTTTGCTTGCTTGACAGGATTAAACACCCTTGCTTCCCTCGGATCGTTCCCGACGCCCGCAACATATTGCCAATTCGACCAGTTGTTGGAAAGGTCGTAATCTACTAGGCAACTCTCATACCATTCTGCGCCAATCCTCCAATCAATGGCCAGATGTTTTGCTAGAAAAGACGCGACGTTCTGTCGAAGTCGGTTACTAGTATAACCGGTAAGAAATAGTTCTCGCATGCTGCCGTCAATTAGCCCTGTGCCCGTTGTACCCTCCAGAAAACGAGTCACTCTTCGTTGACTTTCTTTGTCCTTCTGGGGGTACCCCCACGAGGACGCCGTGTCATTCTTGAAGCCTTCGATACGAAAAAGTCGTGGCCCAAATTTGCGGGTGGTTAACCGGAAGTAGTCCCTCCATAGTAGCTCAAATCGTACTGCTGCAGTGCCCTTATTCTCGCCCTTTCCGTAACCGTGCACCCCTTTGCCAAGATCTGTCTTGCCATCTTCGAAGTTCAGAAGGAACTCATGGACCTGCCGTGCTGTGATACAGCCAAGTGCAAGCCATGAGGAAAGCTTAGTGCTGAAGTCTAGCCCAAGTAGACCATTGCGGGTTTCTTTGTACGTGGAAAAACTGCCGCTGGTGACGAGATGGCGGATGCGCTCTTGCCCAGCGGTCTCCCCGCCATGGAAAGGGTGCGCGGAAGTTGCCTTTGTGGGCCATGTTGGTGGATTGGAGAGACCTAGATTTGGATCCAAAGGTTTGTGAAGTTTTGCGATGGTGTCTTCGACCGTTGTTGGTATCGTAAAAGGGTGGGGTTGGGAGGGTATTGAAGGTGGCAGAGGTGGCAGTTTCGAGGGGGAACGAAGGACCCGACGAGGAGCCTCTCTGAGAGGTTCAACCTTTTTGCGATAGGACGTAAAGACGTCAGGCAAGTCTTTAGGGTTTCGAAATGGAATGTCGCGGTCATCTATATAGTATTTCTCATCTGTCCACAGCTTAAATTCGGTTCCCGCCCTCTCAGCGGCCTCCTTTACATCTCGCTCTTCCCTCTTTTCTTCCACACCTTCTTCATCTGTCATCCAAACCGCGACGACCTCTGCGCTCGCTTTCTTGAACGCATTGAGTAATTCCTGGATTACCTGTCCTGCCAATCCGACTCGAATCTCCAGGCCACTGCCAGTATTGTGTAACGATCTTTTCAGATCCCAAACACTCTCCGCCAGGAACTTGGCCCTGTGGTGACCGCATCTCCAGAATCCGGCGGCATTCGATCGAGCCTCCGGAAACGGCGAAATTTCGGAATCGGAAGAAAGGAAGCCGGAAACTTCTATCTGCTGTGCGGCGAATACGTAGATTGGAAGGAAATGGGTGTAGGGATGCTGGGACTGCTGAAAGGTTCTGGCAACCTCGGTGAAAACAGGATTATCAGCGAGGCGGAGATCTCGCCTTAAGAGATATATGAGGATACGGGGAGAAGACATGTGGGGAGGAAGTCACGGGAGATGGACGCAAGTTGCAACGGAATTAGCAAGTCGCGAAGGGGCGATGTTCAGCGTCAGGACTCAGGGGAACATGTAAGGCGCTTTCCGGAATGTTAAGACGAAGAAATGGTTATCAATGGCCCAATTTTGCATCCTGTAGTCGTAGTGGACAAGCTTGACAAGTTTTTATTCGAGAATCAGGAGATATCATCATCGTATATCACATACTACTGTCTCCAAAATATGTCGAAACTCCGGGAAGTGCCGTATCGAAGGTTTCAGCTAATTTACTCCACGGCGCTCAAAAGCCATAACCACGGCGTGAGGAGACTAGCAGAAGTGTCAAGATAATGATTTGTTGATTTGTTGACTCGCCGGCAAGATCGATCGCCAAGCTACAAGAAATGTACCCCCACCATCCCGATCTCAACCCCCTATCAGGTCCTAGGTGAGCGCCGCCTTTAGCATCGTCCCAGCTGGGTCAGTGTCGCGCGATTGTGGGTGGCGTTGGAATGCCTGCTTGCCTTCCTGCCTGCTTATCAGAACTACCATAATCCTCCTCTCCTCCTCCTTCTAATTTATGTTTCAGGGGGAGTTTCTCATTGAGGCACGATCTACTCGTATTATCAATTTAATAAGCGAATACAACAAAGCTTGCTTGCTCAAATCAAAACAATGCCGCTGATGTTGTAAAGAGGAAGTGAAAGTCATTTCCGCAGTGTGAAACAGTCGCCACCAATTTTCCTGCCACTCATATCAGATGTATGCGTCTCAATCTCGGCTTCTTTCCTACAATGATACCCGACGTATTGGGTATCTCACCCCGAGATCTAAAGCCTCGCACTAGCTTGAGCGGTGGCTCTGGTATTTGGTTCGGACAATAAAGGCCGCCAAGTTCCTTGCTGCTGCAAGAACATCAGCTCTGTCGGCATTTCTCTTCCCACCTTGTACAGTTGGACAGAAGTAAAGAGCTTTTACTATGGTTCAATAGGCATGCTGGCCTTGAAGGCGAAGGTTCGTAGATGGGGCTCTGAAGATTCTGGATGCCAGGCCTGAGTATGGATCGGCGATTGAAACTCGATCCATACCGTGAGGTTTTTTTGCACGAATGACTTTGGCAAGCTTGTTGGGAAGATTCCACAACATATGCTCCCCTCCCAAAGATAGAAGAGCAGCGTTCAGATCTATCCCGCCATTGATCATGTTCAAGACTCTTTCTTCGTTTTTGACTCACTTCATCTTGGCGATAATTTTTTTTGGTCAAAAAAACTCTCAGAACCGCCCTAGTTTCTGGTTGAAATTTTTGATAGGGTTGCTCGAAGGAGGGGGGTTTAAGGTGACGGTCGAATGCTCATTTTCAAACGCACTTCCTCGTCCAGTGGCTCGTCAGGTTCCAATTCAGTGTTGACTGGATCGATCTCCTCCACTTCACTCACATTGCCTTGGCCGGAGCAATCTCCGTCTTCGAGCATCTTAAGCACGTCTTCCTCATGTGCAATTTCGAAGGTCCCTGGTGCCTCCAAGCCTGGATCTTCGACGTGGGTGTCTACTTCTTTTTCAATATCCTTGCCTTTCCCACTCAGCCTCTGTTTCAAGGGCTGTTCTTTTTGATCAAAGAATTCGCTCACCGCTCTCATACTCTCTGCCGAATACCGCCCCCCTGTTCCTAGACCTAGCAGCAGCTTTGGTACCTCGTTTTTCAGACGATTTTCCGGGCCTCCGATATCTTAACCCACATATCAGCATGTGAATAGCCCCTCCGGTAGTTGTACCGCCGACTTTCGCAAGTTCTTCGATCTCAGTGTCATTTTCAAACCCCAGTTGAAACAACCATTGCCTGAGAAAGTGTCCAAGCGTGGCAATCCTAATCGCGTTGCCCTGCTTTTTCTGCTCGAACGGCATCGAAGATCTGACCTAGAGCGCCCCGGTTCTCATGCTACCTATGTTTGAGATCTTTCAGACCTACGATCAGTGAGGCGATCTTCAACGCAAGGCTCATTTGATGACTCAAACGCCAACAGGAGGTATAGAGCACTTTGGGAAGGTCCGGCACATCAAGGTAAACTCTTTGGATCGTGCCGTCCGACACATCTACTCAAAAGGTGATTTGATGACCTCTCAGCTCAGACTTGAGAGGAGGGGAAAGGCCACTGTCGAGTAGCCTTGTAATATATCGCTGTGCTATATCACCGCTTACAAGGACCACTCGCGCAGCGCTCTTGTCCAACATCCATTACGTCAGCGCCGAAAGATAGTCAAACACTATATTCGGCTTAGAAATCTGATTTAGCTGGATCTTCCTTGATGAGCCAAAGTCAATAGGCCATATCATTGAGCTTGTTGCTGTGAGACCAGCTTTCTCCAATCGAAAAGGTAGAACATTGTAGGACTTCTCTTCTGGGCTGGACTCTCCACTGAGAATCCCGTACACTATGGCGATTTCGCTGCCCAGAGACCCAGGCGGAAGGTCTAGAGAGAAGTTTAGGCCAGGAGGCCCAGGTCTTCGCGGATATCTTGAGCATGAAATTCGAATTGTTCTCTCCGATTGCTTGTAGTCACCGTCTGCCTCTTGACTTGAACGCTACTCTTTTTTCATTAGGATCAGCAATTAATGGAAACAACTCGCGGATGGCCTGATTGAAAGCCGGCAAATACTCTCTAAAAGAAGGTACCCCTGAGGGTCTTGAGACAATCGGGCCGACCTGCTTGCTCCGAAAATTCGGCCAACTTTGTATCCCTGGGTCGGAGAATTTTAGCAATTTCGCCCGACTACCACCTCTCTTGTCCTTGTTCTGCCAAGCTTCTTGTTCGAAAGGACATAATACATTCAAGTGTACCATTTGTCTTTTGGCTGGGCGCCTGGAGTTGGGGGAGTATTCTGCTAAAAGTTCCTCCGGAAGTGACCTGAATGCCAGCGCCATGATCATCTCGAGCATGCCGAGTATTGAATAGTGTCCCTATTCGATGAATTTTGTTGTGGGAAACCGAAATAGTTGTAGGAAATGGCTCTTTCGAGAGCATTTACTAAGAGCATAGATGTAGTAGTGTAATGGCTCAACACTATCACTTAAGAGAGGCACGACATGCCCACGACTTCGAGAACGCACGTTGGTTGACTGTTCAACATAAAGGCGACAATAATTGTCTTCTCGATCATCGGTTAGGGAATCGAAATATCCTCCAATACCATCAAAGATCTCTCCATCTGCTTTTTGACAGCGAATATTCTTTAGCAGTCCGGGGGTTACTGCTTTGTCTTCTAGCCCCCGAATTTTCGGATCAACGTAGTCCAAGAGAGCGATGCAGAGATCGTCAGGATCGTCAAACTTGTCGATGTAGTTCTTGAAGTACCTCAAATCTGGCTTGCTTGTCTCACGAAGGACCTGAATCAAATGACGGGTGATTCCTTCAAGGTCGGGAAAATTTCCACAAGTACATCCGATACTCTCGTACTCGAGTTCGGCTTGGCTCTGTCTATCTTTTTGCTGAACTCGTGACTGTTTGTCAATGATAGAGGGCTCGTCTGACTCTTGCCTTTGATGCTCGAATCTTGTAGGCTCATGGTTTGCTGAAAGAAGACCGATAGCGTTGACTCTCGTTTGAAGAGGGCAAAAGCGCTTGTCGCCAGTTCTGTGACCTTGCTTTTGCAATCTTCGCACCAGAGCTTTTGATGTTTAGGACATCTACTGCTGGAATGGCCCTCAGCGGTGCAGCAATTACAAGGGCAGTTCAGGGCAAGTCTGTCTGAAAAAACCTTGATTGCCACATCCCCTGCAAAATTTGTTTCTTCATGAATGACCATTGTGAATCTGAGTTTCGTAAGACCAACCAAAGACTCTCTTTGTTGAGAGGGAGTGTCATAGGATAGGGAAGTTTTGTAAAGTAGGGTAAAAGAGCATAGCAAGATCAGAGTGGGGGGCACATTTCTCAACCAAGCCGCCGCTTACGATCAAGCGCATCCCTTCCCGCATGCCATGCAAGATTCTGGACTCATCCCATGCTAACCAGATAAGGTCGTTTTCCATTCGGCCACACATTGAGATGATAATAGCTCCTAGCCAACCTGCGTGTTGATGCTTGGGAGGGTGCTCAATTGCCAGATTTCCTCCTCTGATACCCTTGCAGCTAGTATCTCTTCTAGTAAGTTGTACCAAGACAACTCAAGAGAGTACAAGTACAAAGTGGAGCGAAAAAAGGTCGGATGAAAATTCTCACTCAGCCGGTACGTTCCATATTACTCAAACACACCACGAAAGGCCAAGTATCACAATATCTTCGAGCTACATAGAAAACATGGATGAGTGTTTCAGGAGGCATTTGCCGCTAGGCAAGGATTGTTCGTATTTCGAGCAGGTGCTTCTGTGCTAGAACGTCATGATATTGACGGCCAATGACCAAGGAACCGTCTGTTCACAAAGACAAGGTACCAGCTCTAGCTCATGAAAGTATGGCAAAATGCTGCACATGAGGCGGAGATCGATTCCTTCTGTACTCCGGGCTATCCTGTAGTTGACCAGCTTTGTTTTGCTTATCCTGATCTTCGTCCACATTTCTGGATCTAACCTTCTCCCACATCCTCGCGTGTCCTTCCGAGGCCCGCTCATTCGACTTTGCTCTCGAAGTTCTCTCCCTCTACCAGTTCTGGTATATCATCGTCGTCTTCATCCTCCGCCTTTCCACCCTCCCCTCCATCCTTCTTCTGTAAGCTCTGGTAGCTCTCGGCTAATTTGCGCAAAGATGCAAGGCTGTCTGGGCCAAGCTGGTTCAGGATACCGGGGACAAGCTCGGTGAGTTCTTTGTCCTCGCCGGCGCCGTAGATGGCAAAGGTGTTCGAAGGGACGGATGCATGGACTATTCGAAGAATTGTTAGTCAATGTATGCATAGGGAAGCAGCTGTGACGGGAGGATACAGGAGGAAGGTGACAATGGAAGGGGGGGAAAACGGATGTAGAATCTTGTTGTGGAATTGGAATTGGAATGTACCTTTAGGCGCAGCAAAGTGGATCACATTTCCGTCTTCTTTGAACATGTTGACCTCTTCAATGGCTTGAATAGGCTGGACGTTGAGCTTTTTCAGGGACGTTTGTAGCTTTTTGTCGTCTGTGCCGGATGACTTGTGGACTTTCTTCACTTTCCTCCGGGGCGTACCCTTGCCTCTGCAGGCGGAGATGTAATGTTAGCTATGTCCAAGAAGAGAAAGCCGAGCTTATAGTCGGATGAACTTCCGTCCATCGGGCAGCCTGGAGACGCAGGAATAATGCTTACCCTAAAGCCCATGCTTGTCAGCGATGGTTCAATTTCAATGCAGGGTTGGGAAGCTATGGAAGCTGAGGGTGTAGAGCAGGGTTGGAAGTATCAATGCTCACCAATTCGCACAGACTGTTGCATCTTTGCCAGCTTAGCTTGATCCATATTTGTAGTTTTGGAGAAGTGCGACTTGAAGAAAACGGTCTCCGCGTGCTGCTTGGTGGCCAAATTCTAGATGGCCAGAAGCTCGCTAAGAATCTTGGTAAACGTCGTAAATGTCTGAGAGATCAGTATCATGAAGTGGGTCAGGAAAGCTTGACTAATATTCTGCGCTTGTGAGATCGATGATTGGTCGAAGGTGAACACAAAAGTGTGATGCCAAGCCAAGACAACTCGGAAGCGAGGAGGTTGCGTCCAATTCAAAAAAAGGTGCATTCCTATAATGATCCTTCATCTCTTCTTTATACAAGCATGGATGTTATTACGACTACGACTACGACTATATACCATTGATATAGAACACTGGATCGGCTGGAATGATTTATATAGGAATATTCCCCCTGCTGTGCTCAAATTTTGAAGCTTTACCCCCCTACGAATGCCACCTTATCTGGCAGATTGACAGCTCGCCTGGTATTCGTCTACCTTACCACCATCTCAAGGCAACTGCTTTTACATACCTCAAATTTATTGATATCAAGTTATTCGTCGTGGGAGAGTAGAGAGGCAGCTCTTTGCACTGCCATGTGACGCAATGTTATCCACTTCATGAGAGTCCTAGGGGAACCAACTCAGTTGGCTCTCGCGGACGTGCTCGAAAACCATACTCAAGTCACTTCAGTCAAGCCTTTGTCACATAGGTCCCCTAAAGTCTGGCTGGCTTCTCTCCGTATGTACTTAATAAAATTACATCACACTCGTGGGAGCCGTGCCGTTCCTTTCTTGCTTATATCCCCGCCCAAAGTAGAAGAAACAGCTCTGTCCTTATGTGATTGATAGCATTCTTTGACGTCCCGTGCGTACTTTGTTCAGTACCATGGCCCCCAAGCCATATCGCGTTCACGTACAGCAGCATGCCGGTTCTACAGCTCAAGAAATACAAGACAAACCGGAATGGAGCAATGCTCACCAACACCGCATAGGCTACTGCAACAGGCATGACCGGAGGCCTGGGCTTACCCATACGGGCGGTATGGAATCTTGCGCAACTACAAGCTCCCACTGTCCGCTAAACCAGCCACAGATGAGGAAGAGGAAGACTTCGAGGAGCAGGCCGAAGACGATCGACAGGAGCTCAGAAGGAATGTCCAGAACGGTGACCTTGTATACTTCAAAGATATCGTAAAGCGGGAAGAGGGAAATCTGTTTGCGTCCGATAAAGCCATACTCACAACACAAAAAGTCATCAACGAGGTCCGTGTAGGATTTCATCTTGGACGGCCACGAGATCATCCAACAGGATGGAGTTACGTAATGTAAGTGCGTTTGGAACTAGCTCCTTCCCCTTGATGGTTACCAAATTTGAACTAGAAGCCATATAGCGGCAGCAAAAGCTTCTCCACAGACTTCAAATCTGTCTTGTTACTCAGTTCACAAGCTATGTTTCAAGCAATGTTTCGGAAGCAAAAGGCTCTTTCTGCTCTCCGTACTCGATGAGTGGAAGCATGACTCTAAAGTTGAGGCGAATGCAAAACATAACGACGCATACGCCACGGACGAGACAGACCAAGATGGCGAAAAGCCCCAGGCAAACGGCCATACGAAGGAATCGAACACGAAATATCAGAAGCTGCGCGGGAAGTACTCCCCTCAAGAAATAGCCTTACTATGCAGCTTGCAGCACGAATTGACCTGCAAAAGAAATCTCCAACAGAACGATGGATGGGAATAACCTCCAGCAGCCAAAACCACCAGTCTTATACCGATCGAAGAAGCTGATCACTTTACCCCTCACGACTGGATTCCTCGAGCCTCTAATTTGATCAGGTCGACAAGGAAGCACCCTCTCAGCAAGCTTGCTCCAGTCCTAAAGCTCGTTATTTGGAAGGGAATTCCGAGCCATTTCGGTTCCGTGACTCCATTTGCCGAGTACAAAGAGTAATTGCTGACCGAAAGACATCATCAGTTGGGCAGCCAAGTCTCAAGTCACTGTACGATGCAGGATGAATCACAGCCAAAGAATTTCATCACGTCCGCAACCATGGGTACTACACCTGGGTCTGCATATCAAATCTAGTCACTGATCAACATTCGAATTGATAGGGTTGTCCCTCAACTCCTATGGGAGATCCATGCGCTCGATATTGAAGGAGGCAAACTCAAGCTATCTATGGACGACTTGGAGAATAACTTCGAACATATTAGCATTCCAGTGGTTCTTGCCTGCGATGGTAATTGACGAAAGGAATTCAACATGATCAAACGGTCAAACGGCTTCAATTGGGGCTCTGGAGTCGTGAGTTGCGCCTATTGGAGAGGGTCTCTTTTGCGAGACGTCCTTCTCGGTGCAGGTGTTCCCGAACATCTGCCCGAGAGTCATAGGTTCTGGACCAACTTCTCCGGTGCAGATGACCCAAACGAAAGGAGGTATGAGACCTGCATCAGTTTTCAGTATGGAATGGATCCTAGAAAGGATGTCATTGCTGCCCAATTTATGAACGATGAGCCTCTGCCGCCGGATCACGGCCACCCTGTTCGAGTCATCATTTCTGGTTACATAAGCGGTCGTTGGTATGTGTCCGTCGAAGCGATACCTCTCCTGTTCCGCACCTGAATCTAAGTCGTGTGAGATGTTTTCGAAGCGGGGAGAGGGCCCCTTCCATGATCTGCCCCCTAGACTCGTCTTACGAGTCGACTTTGTGTCTTGGACAGGGCCTGGTAACGCCTAAATTCTAATTCAGCGTGAAGTGGCCCAAGAAAATCTGGATCAGCGACGTATGAACTTTTCGGGGGCGGAGGATTTGCTATTTCGAAGCGCCATATTCCGAAAGCAAAAGGCCCTTGACTCCCCTTCTAAGTTGTTCTACTCCTCGAGTTTCTGCCTTGGAGAAAAAAAGGTTGACTTTCGAATTTTTCTAGAAAGAAACAAACCCAATCATACTTAGGTTAATAGAGTCCTACCAAGCTTCATCACCGAAGAGGATGGCGACTTCGCAAACACAGTAATTACCCATCCGAGTACATTGTGTGAGTCCTCTTTTGGGAGTCATTCCCTCCTAATTGAAACTGCGTTTTGAGTCGCAAGAATGGTCCCAGGGATAAGCAAACCCGGGACCTTTTTCACAACTCGTACCCTACTTGGAGGATAGATACCAAATTTTGGGGCAAGGCAATGAGCAAAATATCAACGCCGTGATCTTGAAACCAGCTCAAGGAGAAGAATTGTCCTTGACAGATGGGAGAATGGGCCACATTTATAGGATCAAGGGCTACGCATATGCTGGCGGCGGACATGAAGACCAACGAGTCGAAGTGTCCCTCGACGGCGGTGAAACCTGGCTCTATTGTATCTACCGTTTCCCCAAAGCCCCAATTCGCCATGGTAATAAGTTCTGGTGTTGGCTACATTGGGTACGTACTGTTGAGGTGCAGATATTTCCCTCTCAACCAAATCCTGGATTTTGTCTCCTCTCTTGGGAGCGTTTGCTCCAAAGACATGCTCGAAGGCTTCAAATCCACTCTCGAACAGACAGTGCTGAATCCGAACTCTTTACATAGCATTTAGACATTGGAACCTGCATATTTCCTACGCTGCAAGAACTTTACTGTGAGGTGTTGGAATGTGTTCAAGAATACACAGCCGGTACGTACATTTCGTAGTAAAGTTTTCCCTATTCGGTATCAACACCTAGTTCGGCAGAGCATGTTTCGATGATAGAATGCTCTTGTTACTGCCCAACTCTGCATTATTATTAAGACTCGGATTCTTGCCCAGAAGAAGCCGTTCCGACTCAGAAAATCGCATAGGAGAGGCCAAGTCGGAACACCATGGGGATGATGAACAATTGCTGGTATAACGTCAAAGGGGAGGTAGTGGAAGAAAGAGAGGACCAAGTCCCAGGATCTCGGTTTAGACATCCATGTGAGCCGGGGATTGGAGACTAGGGGTGGATGAAACCGTCGACCGAGCTACTGATCGCAGATGCTAAACAGTCTGCAAATCCACCACAAAAGCAATTTACGAGGGAAGAGATGGAAAAAGCATATTAACGAAAAGGACTGCTGAATAGTTATTGATGAAAAAGTAGGTAGACTTTAAGTAACGAGAATTAAGTTGTTAATTAGGTACGTGTATGACGCGATGAGAGAACTGAACTGGCATCCGGACGTCCAAGCAGCAAAACTTGGCCACGCAGGGCGAGTGCACCAAGATGCTAGTGATGAGTTTGCCTCGATTCATGATGGTTATGCCTTCCAGAAGTTGAACGGTACGCGTCCAAATCCTCCTAAGTGCAACGGATATTACAGGGCCTGACAATCTCCAGAATGCATCCTGGGCACTGTTACCGAGAAGGCGGCCGCTTTCATGAAGAAAAACGCCGAAATCAAAGCCAAAGACCTTGCGCAATCTTCCAAAGGGGATGATGGGCTGGCGCTTCAGAAACACCGCTGGGTTCCTGTCCACCTGAAAGATAGGAAACGGCCCAGTAAGACACAAGATGCTATACCCTCTCTGTTCCGCAGGACCAAAATGCGCTGGGCTCGGGGGCTTGTCAGCATATCCAGCTGGTAATTCCACTTCAAAGATCACATGTGCGTCCGTGCTTATATCCCCACTAGATCCATGCTGGAGAGCGAAGAAGACCGGACATTTCAGCTCGTCGTGAAGACATACTTCCCCAACGACGACCAACCGGGTGGCGCCATGTCAAATCCCCTTGACTGCATACCTCTCAATGAAGAGATTGAGGCCCGTGGCCAAACAGGTGAGATCGAATATCGCGGGAACGGTCTACACATCATCGAGGGCCAGAAAATGCGTTTCAGTCGGGTGCATTGGTCCTAGGCGGGTCAGGACTAAAGCCCGGGTACCAGTTGATTGCACGAATTCTTGGGACCGAGGGCGACAATCGAAGATACCGAGATAGCCGTCATCGATGCGAATATGTCTGAAGCCGATATCCTCTTGAAGGACGAGTTGCACGATTTCAAGGAAAAGCATGAAGGACAATTCACGATTGACCATGTGTTCAGTCATCCCAGTGAAGACTAGAACGGTACCAAAGAGCATGTCAACGCTGAGATTAATCCGGAAAACTTGATTCTCTCCAGACGGTAGTAGTGTGGCACTCCGTTGTGGGCCCCCAGCTATAATCCAGAAGGCTGCCCTGCCAGTACTGCGGGATTGTAGTTATGAGGAGAAGAATTTGTTTGGATTTTAGAGGAGGGCAGCAGTCTCGTTATGATTGCTCCAACATGTTAGGTTCATGGAGTAGGGACCTAGCAACCATCGGCAACCACGGGGTTGGACGAGGAGCTGAGCCTGGTCTTATCTCCTGCTAGCAATTGATGAGATGCGTTCGGTGAGTTAGATAGTTTAGCTTGCAATAACAGAAATAGGGTTTCATCTGGCCTTGTTGCAGCTTTGTTATCTGCATACCCAGAGCCTATGGACGTCAAATTTAGGGGCGATAGGGCCGCTCGGGTGCCTATCCGCTTGATGCTTGCTATTACTGTGTCTGTGTCTGCCCTGGAACGTACACCTCCCGCTATCAACCATTCGCTGGAGCACGAGATCTTATCTTTTCCCATGGCGTGCTCCAAATCTTCTTTTATAAAAAGGCAGACATGCCCCCTTGTTCCTTTAATACTTCTTTTTCGTTGGGCTTGCGCAGCTATTCCAGAATTTGTTAATCGAATGCCAATGCAGTTTACCGTCTGACACCTGATTATTGCCTGATCTGGGTTCACACTTCACACTGGGGCATCAACATACTCCCGTTCTGGCCTCTCGGAAGCTGTGTATCCTCCAAATCGAAATGCACCGACTGGCGCAAGCATAGGGAGTGCAGGGACAGCTAGGGCCATCGTCAAGCAATGGTCCTTTGCTTCGGCCCAGACCCTGTTGCCAGGGTCTTTGGTCCCTAAGGATTCCTTGAATTAATAGTCTACGTCCTTCTCAGGCGACACGGGTCGCGTCACATCTGGGCAGTGATTGGCTGGAAGTCAGCTACAATCATCAAAGCTCGAATGCGACAGTGATACAGCCACTTTGCAGTCGTCAACGCCCCTGAGCAGGGACAGTTCCTGAGTTGTCCTCACCTTGACCGGCTGTTGGCTCAATTGTGAAAAAGCACCGGATCGACGTTACTGTTAGGGACGGACTGGACTGGACTGGACGGGAAGGCTCACTCGCACTCACTGTTCTTGTTATTCCCTGGGACAATACAATCTCGGCTTGTTTCATTTTGGTTTTCTTCGATCCTAGGTTTCTGGTCCTACGAGTAAACGTTGGCGAACGCCAACATTGGCTGAAAAATGCCACCAGGCTAGAATGGCCCTACCGATGCTTAGCGGCGTGGGGGTTTGCACTTGACATTTCTAATTTCGCAATAACAACCCTGACTCTGCAACAGGAATCAGAGCGACGGCAGCGCATCGACTCTCTCGAAGCGAAGGCAAGGGCTTTAGGATGTGACTTGGTGAACAACAGAGGACCCATTGGACAGATTCAAGTGGCCGTGGCTGACAGCCGCTGTCATTCGGTCTTTCTCTCTTTTTTTCCCTTTCTTTTTTTCTTCCTTCGCTCCCACGCCAATAGGTATTCGGGCCGGCAAAAGAGTGCATAAGCCCTCGCTTGGGTTTCCGCAGACCGAAGGAACGGTTCGAGATCGTCCAATGAGGACGTGCTGATTCCATGCATAAGATCGTTTGCGTATGAGTACCTATGGACAACATCAGCATCACATTTGAGATGACCCGCCATCCTCAATCACCCATGAGACGCGTGCGAGGCCTCAGCGGCGTTGAGGCAACGTGGACCTCTACACGATTGAATGGCTATTTGTGACTCTTGATCATGGCGTGCTGCCGTAGCTCTCTGTGATGTTGGCTCTTTGGCTCTAATTAATTGTGTCTGAGACTCGGAAGGTTGAAAGCGGCGCAAACCGGGATAGTGTCAGTATTTTCGCCACACAGTCTTCAACTTCAGCACCGAGTGTGACATCAGAGTACGCGAGCCGTTTGGCTGCGGAACTCAGCCGAGGTCGATGTTGAGTTTGTTCCTCTCAGTCTGTTGTTACCTTGTACGTCTACTGCTTTTTTGAAGAAGCACAACTGTAATTTGGAATCACTTCGCTGAATTCCCCAAGCTACAGCAGACCCGTTGTTTTTGATTTTTGACTTTTCATTTGATTGTTTTTCGGGCATTCTCCGTGTCCGCTCGTGATACCTACTTGTCTTCACCAAATTCCTACCTAGACACTCGCCACTGTTGGGGGAAATCACATGTTGAAGTGTGCGAAATTATCGTCGAGGTAAAAGTCAAACTCGGCGCGGTTTGACGGCTCACGGCTGGTCTTCGCGCATACAGCACACACAGCAACACATCTAACCCAAATTTCCCCCGCGCAAATCTGCTCCTCCAGGAGGTGTCAAGTTTGGTAAGAGGCTTACTCCCTCCAAAGTCTCCAAGCTTTGATATTGCAATCCTGCGACATAGGATTTCAGGCTTTGATGAGACGCATTACCCTACCCCCCACATTAAAATGTACCTTCCGAGCCTACCACCTCAAGGCTTGCATAAAGCACTAGGTACACTACACTAGTAGAACGGGGGGGAGGAAAGATTACCTACCTACCTACCACCTACCTACATTACTTGACTCTGCCCGCAAAATGCTGGGAAGAAAGAAAAAGAGTCGAGGCCGCTAGGGCCAACTAGCTACGCATTCACGCATTTCGTGCTCTAGCTCTAAATTACCCCGAACCAATTTAGTAGCCCCGCTGAAATCCAACCCTGAGCCCGCGTCTGGCCAACCATCATGACCCATTTCTACCCAGTTCTTGCAGAGACCCTAAAGACCCTAAAAGACCTTACCCCAAAACACACATCATCGCTCTCCTCCTCGATGCATCGTATGCAGGTGGAGAAACGTCAGTCTCTCTTGCACTTTCATTCACACCATCATTGACCCCAGAAAACTCCCTCTATCTTTATGCCTCGGACTACCCAGGCCAGCGATGCGTCGAAGCAATACTTGATGAACCGGTCGGGAGACTTGGCTCGTGGGGGACCCGCACATGCAGCCACCCACTCCACCGAGGACATCGACATCGACGATGTTACAAACTTCCCCACAAATGCCCTCTCGTCCTCCGCCCTCTCGACCCCGCAGTCATCCCGAGTACCCAGACCGGCGCAAGCACAATCATCGCACATCCGACATACACCAGTCCCCCCTCCCTACCGTCACGTTCGAGACAAACTGGACATCTCCCCAGAAAACAAGCAGACTCGCAAAGACCTTCTCCGTGAGAGCTTCTTTTCGGATTGGAAGGACGACGCCTCCAGCGCTGATCTGGGCGACCCCGATGAAATGCAGAAAAAGGACCCGCTCGGAACGCAAATATGGAAGCTGTATAGCAAGACCAAGTCCCAATTGCCGAATCAAGAGCGAATGGAGAATCTGACCTGGAGAATGATGGCCATGAACTTGAAGCGCAAAGAACGAGAGCAGGCACGGTACGTGCGAAACCAAAACGAGCGCACCTTTGCGCAGAAGTTCGTGACTTACAAGCGCATTCGCAGAGCAAGCCAACAACCCACCAGCGCCCCTTCGGGAATTGCAAAGCTTCGAGAGTCTGTGGACCTTTCAGACACTCCGGATCCGGATGCCATGAACATCGACGACTTCATATTTCCTACGTCAATCGCATCTCCTGCTGGCATATCTCCTTCCTCCCCCCCACCCCCCTCAAACACCAATGCTTCAGCGATACCGATCAAGACGAGGAAGGACGTACAGCATCAAGTACATCCAGAACTCCCTCCATCAGCACCTACTCAAGACCGAATAAGAGATCGTGAGTTCGATTACGTACAACGGCGGGTGAGGAAGACGAGCATCGATGAGACAAAGGTGCGCCCTCTGAACTGTGGCGAATCACCCTCGGGCTCAAAGGTGCTGACTATGTGGAATACAGTCTCGAAAGCGGCCTGCCGAGTTTTCTCCCCAAGTGAATCCCACCAATGGTATTATGATACCCAACGACCCAGACGGGGATGCCGGACTGGGTGATTACTCTCTAGAACATACAGCACCCCAGCCCTTTCCTATGCATGCCAACACCTACCCTCACGTTCCATTCAACCTCGACACTTTCAATATTAATGACGACCCTATACTCCATTCCGCCGGCCCATTCCAACAGAATTTCACATTCTCGCCAGCTGCATCTCCAATCAATAACCATGGTCCGTTCTCAACATACAAGAGTACCCCAATAGGTTCCTCTATCAACTCTGCAGAGTATTACTCGCCGCCCGGGTCCGCCCATCCCTCAGCAACATCTACCCCACAACCGCTGTATGACAACGAGCATCTGTATTTCGGTCGTCAAAACGCCGATGCGCGGCATCAACGACCCATGCAGAACTACTCTAGTAGTCGGCCTTCCAACCTGTCTACCTCAATGCAGCCTCAATACCTATACAATCCCACCAACGAGGCTATGTTCAACGGCGTCACAAGTGGTGCTCCTGCATCAGCTGCGAACTTTACCGCTCCTGCTTTCTCCATGCAGCATGTCAACCCTTCTCAAGTCCTTCACCCCGAGTATTCCAACTCGCAACCGCACGGTATGAATATGCCACGTAACGAGAACATGTTCTCTTTTGGTGAAGATTCGGACAACGAAGACGACGAAGGAGGCAATTTCCCCGAAGGGTCTATGATGATGCAGACAGATTTCTCGACCATGGATGATCCTTCTCTTGATCTTCGTAGCAATGGACTTCCATGGGATGCCAACTTAGGTGGGCAGCTCAACACAATGGCGGCGAGGTATCCAGGCGGCCCTCCCAAAAAGCAGGTGACAATAGGGGGCACAGAGACGGTGACATCACCACAAGACTGGGCGCAAGGTGGTCATATTAGTCGGGCACATGGATCTTCCACCTCGGTCAGTGACATTCGCAACCGAAGCAACGATCCCAGAAGACAGAAGATTCCGCGGACGACCTCGACCCCTAACGCTGTCCATCTCGCTCAGCAGGCGGCTATGCACACTCGACCTCAGTCTTCGCCCAGTTCTCCCCCAGAGTCTGGTTTCAGCAGCGTAGCTCCGTCCCGTCCAAGCAGTCCAGGTGGATCCAAAGCTGGAGAAAACAACGGGGTACCTACGACCTGCACCAACTGTTTCACCCAAACCACTCCCTTGTGGCGCCGGAATCCTGAAGGTCATCCCCTATGCAATGCTTGTGGTCTGTTCCTTAAACTTCACGGCGTAGTTCGCCCTCTTTCCCTGAAGACAGATGTCATCAAGAAGCGAAATCGTGGTAGCGGCAATCAGCTTCCAATTGGCAACTCATCCACTCGTTCGTCCAAGAAAGCATCTCGCAAGAACTCGATCCACCAAACTCCTGCGACGACGCCTACTTCTGGCAAGGTGCAAGGCCAGACTGACTCGGCCTCTCCACCTTCAGCCTATGGATCTACAAATTCAGGATCAACTGCCGGCAGCACCCCAACGAGCTATGGGCCTGGACCATCCGCAGGCATGGGTAGCCTTCCTCCTATTGCTGCCGCTCCACCGAAGCCCGCACCCCCGACTGCAACAATTGCTGCCGGCAGACCGAGCTCGACGGTTGTGCCAAAACGCCAGAGGAGGCATTCCAAGCAAGGGGTCGGCAGAGGCGGTGGTGGCCAAGAGGCTGAGATGGCTGATGCGGACGATACCAGTGGGAAGGCGACAGCTGCTTCATCAAAGAAGAAAGATAATGGGCCCCATCAAATGGCTGCTGCGGGTATGGCCGGGATTCCTGGCACAGGGATGATGGGTACAGGCGGACAGCCGGGCATCATGACCGGCGGCCCATCTACCGGGACTCAGGAGTGGGAGTGGTTGACGATGAGCCTATGAGGCCCTAGCCCAGAAAATCTCTCAGTCGCCTGCTCCGGACACTGCACGAGTGATCCTTTGGCCTGCGTTTTCGAAACCTTGGTGCTATCTCGCAATTCAAGATCATCAACTCAACCATCAGACATGCTCGGCAACGACTCGATACAAATCCATCAAAGTTCACGTATATACCTTTTACAAGCGAATGCGCTTTATCCGGACATACACATGGTCCGTCCCTACACAACACATACTACCCTCGCTCGGGTGACTACACCGACTTGAGCGGGACTACCTGGCTGGAGGGGCTTCTATGGTGATATATCGCTGCTCTGTTCCTTTTCGTCCTTTGGACGCAATTTCGTTACTGCTTGCTTGCTTTCTTGTTTACTTACGACATTTGCTTTGAATTGATATCACCGCGTCTGACGAACCTTGGCAGAGGTGTCAGAAGTGCGCTTGGGATTTGGGTCTCACTGGATTTGGATTTGATTCACTTCGGTCCTAGATGGGCTGGAGCATAGTAGGGGGTTTATCGGCCCGGGGGATGGAAGGCAACGACGATCTGATCGTGATGATGGGATGGATGGGTTCAGGCTGTAATTAGACAAAGGCATGCGATCGATGGAGGTGTTTTGGGGTTTAGGCGAGGCAAGACGAAACAGTCCTCAGATTCCCAAGCATTTCGCATATATTCATGACGATAAGACTCTCCTAGAGCGAGTAGGGAAGTTTAGACACCGGCTGACGCACTGGATTCTCCTGAATTCTCTGAAGTCTGAGGACATACATTTCTTGTTTTTATCTCGTGCTTCAGCCTCTCACCAGACTTACTACCGCAGCTTTGGTTGGGCCACAGCAGCTGGGGTACTGCTGTCCTTCGCCCCTCTCCAAGCATTCCGTTGGAACCCAGCAGTCCTCAGGCGCACTCATGTTCGCTCGGGATCCATCCTCACTCGCCTTGCCCTCGACATTGCTCTAATCGCATTCGGTAATACCAGGCTTGTGTGCTTCCTACCTCACTTCTGCTTGGCCTTTTCCTTCTCTCCAGCACCAGCACCAGCACCAGCACCAGCAGCGTTTGCTGCTTCCTCGCCTAAGATCTTTGACGCGGCCATGAATCTGAACGTAGAGACAAAGTGTTAGCCAGGTGCTCAACCAGCATCCATGGAAATGCGAAGACAGTGTCACATAGCCACGCCTTCATATTCCCTCCCTCACGCGTTCCACTGACTGCACCCTCTTCGACTCCTACCGTCTCCCATAGACACAAGCAACGGACGGAAAACGGCTCACTCACCCACCACCCCACCATCCCCCCAAGCCCCGCACATACTCCGCCTGCACAGCTGTCATACCGACCAGATTCTCCATATCAGCTAGATGCGCATTCAATTGCGCCAATTGCGCGTGTAGATGGCTGTACTGTCGGTTGCGGTTGATTGTTGAAGCGGAGGCGGAAGTGGAAGGATGGGAAAGAGACGACGTGGAGGGCCGGTGGGATGAGGCGGACATTGTGAAGGGCTACTGGGTAGTTGACAACTGGGGACGGGGAGCTTGGTAGGAAATGATCGTTTTGTGTATAGCCAAGAACGACAGTGCTTACCACCTGAGGCTGACCTAGCGCTAATGGATGTTGTTCAACCGTGGGTTGAGCTTTAGGACGCGCCTAAGGGTCACGTGAGGGCATACACATCTTGATCCACTAGGCTCGTGGCTCAAGGCTCAAGGAAGTGAAGCCCCAACCAAGCGTGTGGATTTGGTGGATCGAACAAGCGCCAAAGGCCGAGGCTTACGAGGTACATTTACAGTCGTAAGGGAATCAAGTGGTCGAAGGGCAAAGAAATTCTTTCTCCTCTGCTCTTCCAAGCCAGTTTTGCTAATGCACGAGGAGCAGCAACAGCTGCCAGAAGATCACTCTATGCCCACTTTTCCGCCCTTCATGCTGGCTTCCAGATGCAAACCCAGAATTGCTGCTTGGTGTCATGGGAGAGCAGCACAAAAAGAAAAACAAGAAAACGCTCCAACGCTGACTCCAATGCAGTATTATGTTAGGTAGTCTCACAATATTAAGGAGGTCACATTCGCGTGCATATATACGACCGAATGAAAGTGGACCATGCAGATGATGATCGATCCGAGCAGGACCTCTCTCAGCCTTCTCTCGCCGATTAATTTATTTCTGTCTTGCTTAATGCTTGGTCGTCTATTGTTGGTGAATCAAAAGGATGTAAGGCCGTGGACTGTATGCAATGCTATTGGGTGTAGGCGTTTTCGAAACCGAGGTGAAGTGGAAGGCTTCAGAGGTGAGGGCGAATCACGAGAAAAGGACGCTCCTGGGAAGACGGATGGACTTTTGCGGTACCGAGATGACGTCTTCGGTGTGGGATGGGCAACTACCCTCTCATTGGACCCCTACGGGGTGTCCTTGAAGACGGGCAGCCTGTCGAGGTGCGAGGCTACTCTGACTGCTGTGAGCCGAGGGATCGGATTCGATGTGCGCACTGGCACCACTATCGCCACTCCCCGCGCTGGCGCTCGCACTACCGGTCAGACTACGTACGTTTTTTTGAATAGGGCCTTTGTGTGGGTATTGGTTGCTCACCCCAGCGCGTTGCTCGACTTGTTGCGGTGCCACAGCATTCCCTTGCCCGGGAGGATATCTAGGCACAGGTTGACGCATCATGCCAGGAGGCGAAGGCCCCCCATTAGGATGCATCGAACCTGGTGCCATATATCCATCTTCTGGCGGGGACCGTCTTCCCATATTCCTCCCATTCAACGCATTTCCAGGAGAATGGCTTGTCCGCCGAGGCATTCCTGGGCTCGGGCTTGGATAAGCGCCATTCATGCCAGCATTATTGCCTGCCCCTTGTAACTCGTTCAACCGAGCAGCTGTTAGAGAGTTTGTCCTCGATTCCTCCCCCATTGTTTTCCGGTCGACGTTGGCATATCGATTTGAAGAGTAGCCCATCAATGGATTGTCTGAAGGATTGTCGTGCATCGTTGGCATGCTCGCCATCAGCTGCGCCGAAGCGCGATTTCTATTCATCCCTGGCCTAGGTCCGAAGCTGTGACTTTGGCGCATGCCAGCATTTCGTCCCATGGACCCTTCAGGGTTTTGGCGGATTTGACTAAGACTCGGCGCCTTCCGCGTCCTGCGAGAAGTGACACTCATCATGTCCACATTATCAGGATCAATATTGGGCGGCGGCGCACGCATCGCCATCGGGTCGAAGAAATCGTCATCGTCATCATCATCGTCATCGAAGCCGCCTCTATGAGAAGGTGGTGGCCTCCTGGATCCTTTTCGTATGCTGTATTCTTGCTCCCTCAGTTGCAACTCTCTTTGCCGTAGGTTGAGCTCTCGCTCCCGTATTGCCAGTTCCGAAGAACTTGATGTGCCATTGCTCATATCACCGACATAACCAGGAGCCACGCCTCCTTCCGGTATATCGTCATATAGAACTAAATGACTGAATTCTCCCAAGTCATCGCCTTCGAAAGATGGTCGCCGAGACAACTGATTGGGTGGCGGTCCTCGAGGGTTGTAGCCGTTGGACTGACGTGACGGGTATCCATTCATCATGGGCGGTCCCGGTCCTCGCCTCATCGCAGGTCCCATTGAAGGTGTTCTTCCTCCACGCATGCCGTTGCCATTCGTAGGACCACTCATGGGACCACTCATGTTGCCGTTCATCGGCGGTCGAGGAGGAGCAGAGGATAGTCGAGGAGGCGGAGCAGCACCGGGGGGTGGATTTGCTGACGGCGGCGGGACAGCGGGCCGTTGCTGATTGACGATGTTACAGTGGTGTAGTAGCGCATATAAAGTCTCAATGCGTGGTACTCGGACGCCCGTCTCTTGAGCAAGCTTGATAGGGGATCCAAGATAGGTCTCCACTTCCATAGGCCTCTTCGCCATGAAGTCTTGATACATGATGCTGTTGGTGTCTGAGGGCTCTGACATTCTCCGCATTGTGATCTCCCGGAAGTCGGCGTCGAACTGACAGCCCTGAGATGTTGCGATCTGCAGAAGCTCATCTATCACATCTGCTACCATTGGCCGAACGCCAACCTTTTCTAGCAGCTCTGCATGGGAGGGGACTTCGAAAAGAACACTGGGCGGGTGGAACGCAATTGGCCTGGAGCGTGTTAGTTAGAATCGATGTGAATCTGTCTTCATAGACCCACCCTATCATACGCTCGTACTGCTGTTGTCTGATGTTTTGAGAGACCTTGCAGTCGACCTGGCCGGTGCTCAAAGTCATAGCTAAAGCTTCAGCCATATCGTTTTGAATGGCGGCTGGTATGGCGTCGTTCTTATTCGCCGGGCCAACCCATACATCCGTGGCCCCAATATGCTCAAACTCGCTTGCTCCAAGCTGTGTGATTTCAGCTCCTGATACCAATGACAGCACCACGTTCGTGGGAAATCTCTGTTCCAGATGGGACTCGACTCCTAGGGTGTTCGTAGTATTGACGAGGATGCAGGTGTGCTGAGGAGTAACGACAGACTCGATGACCGCAGCGAGATCGTAGACATCGGGTAGTGCTTTGACACAAAGGAGAACATAATCGAAGGCTGCTTTCTTGCCCGCTGCATCTTCCGGACTTCTGACGACTTTGACCGGTCAGCTTGACAGGGAGATAACAGGATTGGTGAGTTATGACCTACCATGGCGTGGTTTGAATCTTTCATTGCCAAAGAGCTTAGATCTGTAAGAAATCCGATTTAGGCTTGACCATTCATCGTGTATAGGACGAGAGCTCTGCTTACTTGAAGGATATTCCGTATTGGGCGACGGCTTCGTATCCAGATTTCCAGACCAACGTCACATCGCAAGCATTGGTAGCTTGGAGCCTCCATGAGAGGAACGCCGAGATCTGGTTTCCCCCTACGGACAGGATTCGGAGTCGAGGAGGACTTGGTGCCATTGTGGACCCGAGTATGGGCGAGAAAGAGCAGTGATGGATTCGTTGAAGTTATTCAAACGAGCTCGATTCCAAGTGTGGCCTTTACCCAACTTGTCCCAACTCTTACGTCTGAGCGGCCAACATTTAAGCTGAGATTGCGCCCGAAACACAGCGGCTGAGATGGCGGTTTCGAGTAAAGTCACGGGCTAAGTAACGAGCGTGATGCTTCTGTGATGTGTCGAATGGACGTGGACTGAATATGATGGCAAAGAGTGGATGTTGACTGGGCCGGACTGCGAGGTGGAAACAGTGGAAATCGAAATTTAGTAGCAACGGTCTGGTTTTTCGCACCAAGCGAAAATTTAAAGTTGAGTGTTAGTAAGATGTTGGCCTTACAACGGGTTTACAAAGAAAAAGCGAGTGGATTGCGAGTGAAGAGTTGTCGCCGTGGTTGAATCAAAGAATGGAAAATGTAAATGTAAAATGTCAATGTAAACGTCTGGTAGCTAATTACTAGGAATCAAAGCGAGCTGGCACCACCAGTATTATTATCGACGCGCGGGCTCGTTATCAAGAGGAAGTCGGCGGATGCTAACTTTTAGTACATCCGGTGGGAAAAATAATCGCAACACCCTCCACGGTTCCACCCTCCACCCTCCACCCTCCACCTCATAAGCTGCTCGGCTAGCTCTGATAAATTGAGGTGCATAGAACGATCAGGTAGTAGTCATTCAAATACTCAAATACTACGGGGCCACGGGCAAAGAAAAGCCTTTTGCTCGGGGTCAGAGGCTCAGAGCTTGGGCTTCAGTATTCTTTATGCTTCTTGTTATCATCCAATGATACCTTACGCCAATCTTGCTCTGGCAACTCCGATTGGCAGAGTGTTTCACAAAAGGGTGTGATGGGTAGAAAAGGATGCCTGCACCACTGTGACTGCACACAGAATTTGATATGATTCAGGGGGATGCATGCCTTAGCATAAATCTAAGAGTGGGCCAAATCCCAACGTGCAGGCCGGCAAACCCCACCCCCAACCCGGCGTCGGACTACCTTAGGTAACACAGTAGGTCAGCATCATAGAATATAGCCCGCTGAGTCTTCCTGACAATATTAAGAGTCAGAATCAGGTACCAGAAAATGTTCGCCATGGATCACGCAAAAGCTTGAGAAAGAGGCCATGCCCTGTAGGTATGTTGATTCTAGCGCAGCCTTTCGCGATGGGCTAGTTAGTTAAAAGCTGGAGGAATACCCGCGTGGCTTGTATCCTTCTCCACACCCTGTCTCTCCTTCTCTCCATCATGGCTTTTTTTGGGGCATGTCTTGCATACCCCAAATCACCTTTCAAACCACCCCTAATTTGTTGGAAATGACCCTTCCCCCATCTTCCTTCGGCAGTTGCGATCATCAGGAGAGCGCGATTAAGATGCTTTCGCCTATTACGCAGAAGGCCAGGGTTCGAATTTTCGTGATGATCCTGCCAGGCCGAGCAGGCCCGCGTTGCTATTCATAGACTGCTCGGCCGAGGAAACTGATGCCGGGTCGGTCTTCTACACTTCACACATTCAATCAATTGCGTGGACTGCAATTCTTCAGAAGATCTGTAAACCGGCTGACAGCATCAAAAGCTCGCATGATGGGCCACTCACTAACCCGTTCTAATCACGGTATGCTAGGTTCAAGACTCTGTGTTCTCCTGACATAGCCGAGAGGGCTGAGGCTGCCACCTTGGAGATTGCCAGCCGTCGACCTGTACGAATAGCTTCATTCCCATATCATTCTTCTCTGATCGAGGCGCAGCTATGTTTCAGGCTTAGTTAACTGACTGTCAGCCCGTCACTCCGAGCCCCTCCATAACAGGCAATACCTGACTTCAATTCCCTGTTCGGCCAAGAATAGGGCACGCTCATGCCAATTTGTACCCAAGTGCCATTGCCGTGACCTGAGTGCTCGAGCTCTGTCGGATCCGAAAAGTCCCAGACAAAAATCCGAGTTGCTTTGCCCCCTTGGGCGTTCTCTAGATGCATGAGGGCACAGAGCGTGTCACTACTCACACTTAGGGCCATGCCCTGTTGCCAACCAAAGCATCAGGGATCTGAACCCACTCTTTGAGGGCTGAACAAGACAAGCCATGCTGCGGCTATGATCCGGGTATGGGGTCAGAACTAACGCCAATTGTGGGTGAGTAGCGAGCCTTGCTGAAAGTAGTGCTCCACTAAACATTTCTTGCACTGCTGATACTTTTTAGGCTTGGATTCTAGCGATTTTTTAACTCAAGCTTCAATTCAATGGCTCCTGAGCTACTCTATCTTGACTGATAAATCCCATCTGTGCACTTTCCAGCAGGTCGCGACCTCAGTTGGATGGCAATCGATGACCTTGGGACCCAAAGCTTTGGAATCTATCATGCATTGCCTCCCGAAGAGCACGACATTGCGGCTTTTCAATGTCTCGGCTCTTCCCATCCAACTCTTTGCTTAACGAACACTTGCATGAAAAAGCAATGACTTGCAAGCGCGCCAGAAGCGCCGAGAAAGGGACAAACGCCTTTTTTCGGAGATATCAGGTTCTTGTGACATCCAAACGCTCAATGACAGATATCTCCAGTCATGCTCACCGTCGTTGGAAGAGACTCCATAAACCCTTTGCAGTAACCCACGATCACCGTTTGCGTCATCCCCTCTTAGATCAACCTCACAGCCTTCGTAAACCCTTCCCACCCCTAACCAAGAATGGGCTCGGCATCTCGTCTCTCTCCGGATCCCAGACCGGCACATCCCCACCACTCCTCAGGTTCTCTTTCTTGGTCTCCTCCACAATTCCCTTCTCTACTTTCTGCGCTTGACTGAGTCCTCCAGCTCTCGCTTGCGCCAGCTCGACCAACGTCCTCCCCCCGCCGTTCTGACCAAACAGATTTCGCTGCATGACGGCTTTAAATATTTCGTTCTCCGTGCTACTAGTAGGTGGTTTGGGCGGCGCTTTGCGGACAGGCGAGAATCCTGAGTGCTTCGGGCTTGGTGGCGACGGAACCCGGGATGGTCGGTCAGACGCTGCCGGCGGAAAGAGCGTAGGTTGGGGGTATCCACTGAGGCGGTTCATTGGCGCGGTTTTCTGGCGGAGGAGGCCCGGCCGGCTGGGGGCCTTGAAGGGGTCAGGAAGACCTGACGGTGCCCGGGTGGGTGATGGTAGGTCAGGAAGGGTGTCTTCTTCCTCTTCGACTATGATCGAGGCACGTGGCGAAGACGATTGAGGTGCGAGTCGGTGCTTCTGGACGGCGGCTGCAGCAAAGAGGTTCTTGTTGTTGGGTATTCCAGACGCGTTTGCAGCGGCTGCGCGGCGGGGTGAGAGGGAGAGGCAGGCGATCGACATTGGTGAAGGGTCAATCATCTGTACATCCATCGGTGAGTCAAATTCAGTGCGGGCCCGAGATAATGCGGTTCGCGTTCGCTTCTTGGGTGGTGTTTTGGATTGTATGACTGGTGGCGAGTCGATGGAGAGGCTGCTCAAGTCCGTCGACGACAGAAAATCGGAATCCGCGTTTGTGCTGACGGACGAAAACTGGACGTCCGGCGGAGTAGGTGGTCCTCCTTCTTTCGCAATTGGCCGTAATTCAAGCCGTAATTGCACTTCGGCTTCGACTCTCGACCGGACCTCGGTCTCAAACATTTTATGGAGCTTTTCCTTCTCCATCTGGACTTGTCGATTAATCTCGAGTCTGGCCTTCACCTCCCATTCCCGACGTATTGTCGATTCCAACGCAGCTCTCATTTTCTCCTTCTCCCCGTTCCAGTTCGAAGCCTTAGCCTCGGCTTCTTGAGCTTTTCGCATGGCCTGTTCTTCTTTTACCCTCAATAACCTTCCTAATTCAACCACTTCCCTCTCCTTTCTCATTAGCCGCACAGCAGGAAGATTCAGCAGGCTCGCAGTGTCAGGTCGCTTTAGCGGATTGATATTCAAGCAGCTCTTGATGACGTTTTGTAACTCCTGAGAGTATACACTTGGCAGTGGATCTACTCGACCTTCTTTGATCTTCTGTATCAAATGAAAATGCGTCTTGGCGTTGAAAGGTTGAGTCCGCGCGCACAGCTCGTACATCACGCATCCAAGAGACCAAATATCCGAGTGGAGGGTATATCTTTCTGCAGCACATATCTCGGGCGACATGTAGAACGGTGTTCCGACGTATGTCGACGCGAAGTCGTGGGATTGCATCAGCTTTGACAATCCGAAGTCTCCAAGCTTGACCGAGTTGTCCGCGCCGAGGAATACTGCGGCAATCAGTGTTGGACTGCACACGGAATATAGATATGACAGCTGCGACTTACTGTTCTCCGGTTTCAGGTCTCGGTGCAAGATCATGACTTGATTTTTGCCTTTCAAGCCCAATGGCTTCAGAGCACCGCATGGCCCCATGGCGTTCCTGCCAACCTCCGGAGCATCGACTCCATAATGGCACCGGTATAGAGCGGCGACGAGCTGTGAAAAAATGCTCCAAACATATTCCTCATCTGCATACTGGTCTTTTCCCCGGAGTTTGAGAATCTCCTTGCTGAGATCACCTCCTCCACAGTACTCCATGTACAGATAGAGTTCCTGTGTCGGCTTCAGGTGTTCTCGGTGGTAGTATCCGACAATATTCGGGTGTTTGAGGGAGTTTAAGGATAGAGAACTCGGCGTGGAGCTGTTCTCGCTCCTTCTGAGACATTTTGATGTATTGAATCTCTTTCCGACACAGGATCTGGCAAGGATCTTTCTTAATAGCCGCGAAGTCTTCAAGTTTTCTGAGTTCACAACTTACATGGCCGTCTGATATTCTTCTGACCTTCCTGATTGTACCAAAAGACCCTCGACCTGTGAGAACGATCAGCTCCGCAATCCCTGATCTATCGGGGAAATGTGAAATGTTTACCTATTGTCTCCAGTACCTCATATTTCTCTGGCTCTATCGAGGTCGCCATGCTGGCGATGGCGAGTGAGCCTGATGCTTCGAATGTGACGGAATTGATTGTTGTAGACTAGTAGGATGTCAAAGCCATGGTATTAGCAGTAGAGTCCTTGAGTTGTTATCACGACTTCATTGGGTGTCGAAATGTGAATTCATGGTACCTTGCAGATCCCCATGTTTACTTCGTCTGTCGGAAGGGGCAACACCCGCGTCACGAGGTGGTGGGTGATAAGATTAGAGGCCTTGGCACTTTGACGCCACACTTGCGTCGTTCGGATTTCTGCTTCTATCATTGATTCGCTGCTGGACAGCTAGAGATCATTGCGGTGCCCGAATCGCCATGGTACTCAGAAAAGACCAGATTGAAGCTAGTCTTCAGGAAGAGAAGAAGCTGATTGAGGATGGCAAACTCAAGGAAGACAACCCCCTCGACGTCAGCGAAACATTTTTCAGACTATGTGAAGCTTGTCGTTGCGGAGACCTGAAGACTTGCCAGGAGACGATCACAGAAGGCGTCAATATCAACGCGAGAGATCGTTTCGATTACACGCCTTTGATCTTGGTATGAGTGTACCATGATCTCCCCCGCACTTCCTCATCATTGCTTGCTAACGCCTCAAGGCAAGGCTAGTCTGTGTGGTCATTTCGAAGTGGTACAGCTGCTACTTGAATCCGGTGCTCTTTGCGAACGAGATACGTTCCAAGGAGAGCGATGTCTTTATAATGCCCTTAATGACCGAATACGAAATCTATTGCTCTCATACGACTATTCGAAATCTACGGATCCACTGCAACCTCTTGCCTCGCACATAACCTCTCTTTTGACTAGAGAGCACCCCCAAACATCCGATATCCTCGTTGCCGCTGCTGAGGAGTCGTTCCGTCTGCACAAATTCATTTTATCTGCGAGGTCTCCATACTTCGCAAAGAAATTATCTGTCGCACCTGACACAGCGTCATGGAAACTTCCTTCGGCGATCCCCCCACAAGCTTTTGGAATAGCCATCAAGTACATATATCTGGGCGAAATATCCAACGATGTTGGTGGTGGGCCTGGCACGGGGTTCTCCGAAGACGAAGTATTGGAAGGGATCGACAAGATAAGCAGGCAATTGGAGATCATAAGTCTCTGGGATGGCATTCTCGAAAGCGGGGACCGCAGACTTGCGAGACAGCGGAGAACAGATGAGGTTGATAAAGGCCGGAATCAGCTGGAGGCTTGGTTCTCAAACAACGTGCTGAAGCACAAGATCATTCTCGACACGGCGAGGGCGGAAAATGTCAAATGGGATCGCAACAACGGGGTTTTTGCAGATGTGCTGCTGAGGGCGGATGAGTCCGACGATGCTTTTGAAATCGAATCTCCTTTAGAGGAAGATCCCCTGCAAAGGAAACCAGAAAGAAAAAATGGCATCCCCATCGGACCCCTAAGACAGGCATCACGTTCTCCATCTCGAGATGGAAAGCCTCGGAAATCTATACTGTTCCCTGTACACCGGGCTATGCTCTTGCGGTCAGAGTACTTTCTTACAATGTTCTCTTCGGCCTTTCGGGAAGCACAAGCCACGGAGTATCTACATATAATCTCCATGGATTGCTCACCGGAAGTCTTGGAGGTCGTCCTGCAATTCCTCTACACGGAGAAGACCGATTTCCCTCTAGAAATTGCTATCGATGTTCTATTTGCTGCCGATCACCTCTTAATTGAAAAGCTGAAAATGAAGGCTGCAGTGGTAATTAGCACTCTTGGAAACGGTTCAATGTCACAAATCCCTACGAGATTGGACGCTGCTGAGACTTCATCCCCCGCGCCAGAAGAACTGGACATCTACGACGTGGTCCGCGCAGGTTGGCTCACACGTGTACCAAGACTTGAAGAATTCGGCGCCAGGTATCTTGCCTATAGACTGGAATCTTACATTGATGAGGAGGATTTCGCAGATCTTGTTCGAGAGAGCGCGAACAGGATCAAAGGAAGACAAGAGACGGATACCATTGAGCTGTTGGATGAGTCAGTTCTCCCTTTCACGCTTCCACTGTACCTATCGCTTACGATCTGCTTCAGCATCCGATATTATCTATCAGAGCGCTTCCGTCTGCGCTTCGAAGATTCTGGTCTAGAAGACATGATGGAAGAGGAGCCTACAATTGCCACCGAGGCTGAGACCGACATAGATGGAAAGCTGCCGGAGGATGAAGGCGTCGATATGGGCTCATTGCCCAATGGTGACGCTGCACGAGGCGATGTGAACTCTTCATCGGGAATCATGATGAAAGACGGTTCTAGTACCATCAGGACGTTGGATGGGGAGATGGTGGGGGATGAGCTGGAGGGGGATGCAATCAACTATCAGATACTGCTTGGCAAGATAGAGGGACTTTTAACCCGATTAAAGCTCGATGCTTAATGAACACGGATATGAGCGTACTCACAACTTCAAAGCTTGATTATAACACATCATCTATGGATCATCTAGACGATTTTCTCCCTTCAGATCTTATTTATGCTGTATTCAACAAAACGATCAACAAAATGATAGATTTTCTATGTATTCAGTGTGTTCATTGTAGTGACCGTGGTGATGGTGGTGAGGCTGAGAATGCAAAACATCTTATGCCAAGTTTGGTAAGCGTCCGTCCGTCCCAGCTATTTAGCGGATGGCGGCGGAAGTGCAAGTGGTGGTGTGAAGGTTAAGGTACCTTATCACTACTCGTACTTTAGCTCTCACTAAAGGTGTTCTTCTTTTTTATGGCCTCGCAAACAATCACACTCGTTCATTCCCACTCGACTGATGCTGACCGCCATACCCTCATTGTCAAACCTTTCTTCCATCTATGCTTAAAACGATGAACACGTCTTTCCTCAACACAGCTCACTGCCCCTGAGTCCCGGGAAGTGGGAAGTGGGAAGTGGGAAAGCCGAAGATTGCCTTGTTCGCCCTCAATCGTCAGCATCTACCCACGATAGCTAATTGGTCTTCGCTCAACCAAATCGATGCGATAATCCGCTCTCACATCCTTTCCCTCCTCCAAATTCAAGCTTCCATTTGTTACAACTTCCAAATGTCTCCTCCACACTCTACCTCGAGCGGTCGGTCATGGTCGGCCGTCCTGCTTCTTATCGTGTCCTTTCTCTCGCTCATAGATCTTACCCTCACCAACGACAACCTCTGGATACAGACTACAAACAGCGCCGGGGAGACAATTTGGCTGCGTGATGACAGAAAGCCAGCGCTCTACACACAGGACTTCGGCGATTGCCTGGGCAGCTCCTTGATCAACGTTACGCGCTTCGATGCTGCATACTACCAGGATAATATGACGGTGCTGTTCCATCTGGAGGGGAATACTAATGTGGCCAACGAGAGTATCATGAGTACGTTCTCACCTCCTATTGATCAAAAATTTCACACTGACTCTTCCAGTGTACATTGGCGTTTTCGCGTACGGAGAGTCTCGCTTCGACCTCACCTTCAACCCCTGCAATGCCCAGATATACAGGTACGCCAACCTCGAATGCCTGGCTCTGCTTATCACTAAAGTGCTGCAGTCTTTGTCCCATGAATAGCAGTGTCCCCATCTCTTGCTGATGGCATCATCCCTGTCGACCAATCCGACGTGTCCGGAATCCCCGCGATCGCTCTCGGAATACCAGACTTCGAGGGTCAGGCCATCCTTCGTATCTTCGGCAATTCTACCGAGACAGAAATAGGATGTTATTCAGCATTGGTTACGAACGGAGCAAGCTTTTCGCACCCTAGCTCAGTGGGTACCGTACTCGGTATTTTCACAATAGTGGCCATAGTCGCATCCTTGGCCACAGCAGTCTATGGGGATCACATACCGACAATGCGCACACACTACGCACATTCACTCTCGGTATTCGTAGTCTTCGCCGTCCTTCATCATATTTATTTTACTGGAGCTTTGTCAATGAATTGGCCAAGTGTGCTAGCCGCCTTCTGGAGCAATTTCGCTTGGAGCGCTGGAATGATTTACAGCGAGTCAATGCAGAATAGCATCAACCAGCTGATCGGATCCAACAAAGGCAACACCAGCATCGTCGGAGCAGCAAGTTCAGGGGCCTCTGCAAATGATCTTGGTGGCGGCTATTCGATATCCCAGATTTACAAACGAGCAAGCCTTGATATTTCCCGCCGGTATCTAGAGTCCCTCGATCACCAGTGGAACATGCTAAGGACCAGAGAGCTTGAAAGTCATATTGCCAAGCGGGCCGCCTCCAATTCATCCAGCGCTTCACCGTGGTACGGGAATCCTATTAAGCCAGGCTTACCGATTCCGGGCAACTTTTCTGGCTTTGCGGGCACCTTGTCTGAGCAGGGCATTCCAGCATCGAACGCTTTCATGACCGGCCTACTCTGGCTTCTGATCCTCATAGCCCTCATTACTGCTTCAGTGGTTGCGTTCAAATGGATCCTCGAAGGATTAGGCAAGGCGAATCTTGTCAAGACGGAAAGACTTGCACACTTCAGAGATCATTGGCTTCTGTACGCTGCACAAGCCGCTCTCCGCACGATGTTCACTGCGTTTTTTATGATGATCTTCCTGACGCTATTTGAATTGACCTACAAAGGCTCCGCTGGCGTTACCGCTATTGCCGCTCTGGTGTTCACCGTCTTTTTCGTGAGCATGCTGGGCATAGCTGGTTATGCTTGCTTCTACCGCCTTCGATTGGGCCGCTACGAAACAGTGCCGGACAGAGTGCACTTCCAAAAGATTAAGGCGATCGGTCCCATTCCATGGTATGGGCTCAAGCTTGAGAGTCATAGATTCGAAAAATCCGAACCAACCGTCTCCGCCGGATCAGTACCATGGTGGAGAATTCGTTTTGTCAACGAAGACCCTCAGCGAGTTGGGGTCCACCAAGACAAAGACTACACCATGCGCTTTGGTTGGCTAGCTGCACGCTTCCGGCGGACGAGGTGGTGGTTCTTTGCCGTTTGGTTGGTATATGAATTTGTCCGAGCATGCTTCTACGGAGGTGCTGCTGGCCATGCATTGACTCAAGTTTTCGGCCTGCTTGTGGTGGAGATCATCGCCTTGGTCGTCATAGTCCTGATGAGGCCTTTTGAGGGGGCTCGACTCAATGCTCTGATGGTTTATCTCCTTGGATTCAGCAAGGTTGCCACAGTTGCGCTTTCCGCAGCCTTTGATGCTCGATTCAACCTGCAACGCATAACAACTACTGCCATTGGTATTGTAATCATCGTCATACAAGGTGTCCTCGCCATTGTATTGATGATCGCAATTGTCATCGGCGCCATATCAAGCTACATGTCTCTCACTCGCAACCATGAGAACTTCAAGCCTCAGAAACTGGAAAAGATTCGGCAACGCTACTTTGCTCACCTGGAGAAGACAGCTCCGGATGTTCCCCCACCTCCCCCACCGCCTCCACCGCCTCCGGAAGAGCCCAAAGGGCCTTACTTTAACGTTACTTCTGTTCGTCGTGAGCCCAAGATCGAGGATGAAGATGAAAACTACATCGGAAGCATCCATAATCCCCTCGGCTCTCGTGTCTCCGTTGCTCGCCCAGCCACCGCCCGGGCTAGCCGAGCAAATAGTATGCGGTCACAGCTCGAGAGCCCGTACACGAATGCTCCGTTCGGAGCGCGCGTGCACCGGGCCAGCTGGAGTTCTCGCGATTTCAATGCACATTACGACCCCAGCAACAACAAAGACTCTGCCCTTGACTACAGTACCCGTAGTTCCCGATTCTGGAGTTCTTCGGGTATTGAAACCAAGGCCAGCGATGGAAGCTTAAGAGAAAGCTCGTCGCGAAGAGTGAAGACGCCCTTGAACAACGGTGAGGGCGGGTTGGAAGTTCGAAAAAGAAATGGGAAGGAGAGAGACGATGTCCTTACAGAGGAGAGGCACAGCGAAGAGCAGCTGGATTCACGTGATTGAAGGAACTTAATCAGCGTTCATCATGACTTTACGATTACATCCCGACACTAGCACATCTATCTATTGTGCAATCGAGTATTCAAGGGAAACGGGTTTGAAGCAGGATTGGAGGAGAGTGGGAGCCAGATACCAGCTTCACTCGGTCGGGCTCTTGTCACATGCCTTCCGACGATGAGAACCAAGACGGACCCGTATCTTAATTGCCACTCGATTTTTGCACCTAGATATCCGCCTCCAGCACAACATCACAGCACAGGCGTACCATGGCATATAGAGCATTGGACGGGCGCTTCATGACTCACTTCGGACCCGAACAAGTCCAAGGGGAGTTGTTCGGTTGGAGCGAGCAAGTTTGCGTCCACGGAAATAGAAATAGATTTACGAATGTAAAGCTCTTAATGCCTTTCATTGCTTGACTGGAAAGGAATGACGGTAGGTAGAGAGTAGCATACGAATTTGTGTTTCCAATCCGCATGTACTTCCCTTTACCAGACGCGTTTTCCCGGGGAACTAACCAACCTCGGGGCAAAATGGTGCTCAACGCGGTGCTTTCAAGAGATGTGCTCCAGGCCAAGGTAGCACAGATAGGATCTTGGAGTGAGTCGAGGCACTGGGACAAGGGCTAGACCAACAGATAGCTCTGTGGTGGCCCGGAATGGCACAGATTGCCAGGGCGTGGGAAGGTGGTATGACGATCGAGGCTCGAGGAGGAAAGGAGGTGCCAGGTGCATTACCTATTTTCCGTCATGAGGGGAGACTCGCAGTGTAGATGCAGGATCTTTCCGAGTATCCGGATCGTGCATTTGACTTTCCGTTGTCGTCGACATTGACGATCCATTCATCTAATTCCCGCAACGTCTATTCCAGCTTCCGTCCACACAAAACTTGTTCTCGTAGATGGTTTTGTTCCCAAAAGGGCAACAGTGATTGATTGGACGCGTAGACCGGCTGCAGTACTCCGTAGATATGCAAAAAGCAGGCAAGTGGATCTGGTCTTGCCTCGGGCGGCAATCGTCTGGTGCGGTTGTAAAGATGATAGCCTGATGGGGATCCGGAACAACTGAGTTCGCAGCAGACCCTTCCTAAAACGTCATTGTCGTTGCGTGATTCGTGACGTACAGTGCAGAACGCTCGAGGAGATTGCACGCTTTCAATCCCTGGTTGCTGGGTATCATCTTGGAGGAATGAGACGTCCATGCTTTCTCTATTCCGATGCGCGATGCTTTACGGTTTCGCCGAGTTTGAAACTTGATCGCATGTAAAGGGATGAGATGCGGGAAACACACCGTGAAGCCGGGAGAGATGGACGGAGAATATACCATCGATCAGCTCACAGAGGACAATGGTTTCTCCATCTGTCAGGTATTGTGGTGCCGAGTCCAGTCGTAGATATCTTGGATTCTTGGCGACCTTTCTCAGGGTCTGCTCGGAAATATGCATGGAAGAAAATGACGAGTCATGGTGATTATCATCTCTTGGGTCCAAAACAACCTGCATCCTCCGGTTATAACCGCGCCATTCAAGCAAGCCTCTTGAGGGTCAGCGCAGTAGCAGTGGTGGGCGCCTCAGCCTCAACGTCTTGCACATTGACCGAGTTGGCGAAATGGGACAAGCAACGCGCGAACCGTCCATGTGGCTCGAACGAGGCAGTCCTTTTTCTGGCCTTTTCAGGTCGGGAACCAGGGTCGGACGGATGAAGCCAGCATGAAGACTTGATGCACGTTTGCAGTGGCGGTCGCAGATGAGACGGAGGGAGTCTCGGAGGACGAAGCCAAGCATTGCAACAGTACTATATGCGCGGCGCATGAGAAGTTCCAATGCAGCTAGACGGGACGCATTGGACGTTGCGGGTCTAGGTCTTCGGAGGATTGAACTGACAGGCTGCATGATGGATCAGATCATCAGAAAGGGCGCACGAACAGCAGGACATTCTGGACGCTGGAAGACTTCGCAGTGGTGATGGAACTAGCCGTGTTTCGTCGACGTCTTGGGCAATTGGATGCATATCATCCGACTACAACATCCTATCTAGACCACTGAAATACTACCATCTCCTTTTTCCTTCTGGCTCGATGTGTGCGACCATGTGCACAGAATCGAGCGGTGCATATGATCTGCATTTTTCCGTCCTTCCCCTATTCGCTGCCCAATGTTTGATGCTCTACTGGCCGTTTTGGTTGCATATTGATGACCGCTATCCCGCCCAGTTTTGGAAGCCGATATCCCTGATGCCCGGGAAATTTTGTTGCAAGCATCTTTCTGAATCTGCGCTCTTAGTGAGTTGCGTGACTTGTATGTGACTCGTCCTGCATGAAGGGCAAAAGGGAAAAAGGGATCCAGAAATCACTTTCGCGGGTCACCCACAATTGTTGTCACTATCATCATCTTATTGTCATCATTATATCATTATCATTATCATTATCATTATCATGATTATTATTATTATTATTATTATTACTATTATTATTATTATTATTATTATTATTATTATTACTATTGTTATTATTGTTATTATTATCATTTGGCCGTCCGATGATGCAGGATGCAATATGCAGTATACTCATGCAATATGCAAACCTATGGTTAATTCCGAGTGCCAAGCCCATGGGGAAGAGAAAAGGGAGGGTCTCCGTCTACCCACGGACCAGGAGACCAGGTGGGTTGTTTTAGAATGATATATAGGTACTAGTCTAACAATGGGGGCGAAAAAGCCACACATTCTACACATTCTACGCATAATTCTGTGTGCAATGTTTGACGATCGTCAACGTGCACGTCGATCACAGCGATCAGCCGGGCGCCGGTAAAAGTGTGTCACACAGGGGCTCCAATCGAGGTGAACTTATCCCCTGGCCGTCTTGGGTTCTCTACTTTACGCTTGGCAGTTGGCGGTTAGGATGATAATAATAATACATGATAATACATGAGTACATGATGTGTACTGTACTTAGCTCACTACCGGCGCTACTTGATCTAATCTAAAAATCATTCGGCTCTGGCTCTGGCTCTGGCTCTGGCTTCGAAAAGTGTCCCGTGGTGAGGGTGAGGGTGAGGGTGAGGGTGAGGGTGAGGGTGAGGGTGAGGGTGTGGATTGTCATCTTCTATCACATAATCCACACAGACGACGTAGAACCGACCACGCTTTGCTCCTTTTTTGCCACCTTCCCCTTTCCCTCCTGTATACGCCGTCAAAGGGAACTATCAGAGTCAGAGAGGGCGAATGGAATTGAAAGGTGATGCCGGGGTGAAAAGGACTAGGTGAACTTAAATTCCAACATTCCTGGATCCTGAGTCCCCGACCCCGAAAGCTTGGGTCCCGCATCTTCAACACTTCAACACCACTTGACGCGCCGGTCCCTCTAAAACAGAAACTGGCCGAAAAGTGAACAGCTCGAAGCCTCGAACTGCGCTCTGACGCTCTGTGACCTGATCAAGTCAAAAGTATTCCATGATCGCCCGGGCCCCAGCAGGGATAGTGCCATCGGACAGACCATTTTAATCATCTAATCCACGAGGTCGACTGCCGCTTTAGGCGAGAACAGTCTGCTGGGCGGTCTGACAGCCCTAAAAAGGACATATCAAAGGTACAACCCCCCCCCCTGCTACTTCTAACCGAACCTCCCATCTCCCGCTTCCAGAATCATAGAGCCCCCCCCCCCCCCACCCCTTGTTTCCTGGCTGGCTTGCCTTCCTGTACGGTACTGCGGTTCCAAGTGGATAGTTCCGTCACACCATCTCGTTTTTCTGACTCGGCAAGCCGTTGAGGATCTAGCGGGGAGCGACATCAAGGATTCGAATGGCCGGGCTCTAGTCAAAATTCGGCATATCTTGATCTCCAGTCCAATCCAGCTACTCTAACTGGTCCTTGGAGATCGGTTGATGGTGCACCTCTTTCGGGCTGAGTGTCAACGGCCCTGCAAAAGCAAAGCAGAAGTGCAAAGGCTCGAGGGACGCGCCGTCTATGGAGACTTGGGTACTACTATGACCCTTGTAAGTCGTAGCCCCTCTGCCATGTGGTTATGTATACTATTCTCGAACTCTTGCTCTCTTCCTCATATCTTTCCTTTGCATGCGCCCCAGTACCAGAGTACCTCTGGGCCATCGTTTTCTTGCTCCCATCTAGGTGTGGATTGACTGACGGTCATTCTGTTGAAGATATGAATCTGTCGAATCTCCTTCATAGAGGTCAACAAAATTCCCGCCAGCAAGACCCCCCAAGATCGAGTCAATCTTTTCCACATCCTCGGGGGCGCCTCCTACACGACCATAGGCAAGATATGGCCTCGGCCCTCACAGCGAGCCCATACATCAGCCAGTCACCAGTCTACACACGATCTCCTCAGCCTCCGCCCTCGCCACCAATTGACGAGCCGAGCAACCTCCGCACCCTACCTTCCATTCAAAGTCTAATCGGAATGGATGTACCTCCACCAAACGAGGAGCAGCATTGTTAGTCCTCTTTCCATTGCAACTAGATGTGTGAAGCTCATCAGATTCCCAGTCGATGCCGAAGGCCAGCCCATCGAGCAACAACCGCAAGGCGCCGACCATCAAACAGCAGGCCATCGACCGCATACATACGGTCAACCAACCGTGAGCAATCCAAATGCTGTACCGCCATCACCTCCCATTGACCCGCAGCTTGGTTTTGACGCTTCCCACCAGTCTCCCTCTGCTACATCTTCGCACTCCTCCACCTCTGGTCCCCAGTATTTTGGAGGCACGATTAACAATCTCGAGCCCCACCAGCAGCGCCAGCCTCCTTCGTCATCCACGCACCCTGGGCATTCAACATCATCACAAGCAACACAATCGCCATACCCGAATTCGCCTTATCCCCCTTCGCCATCAGCAGGATCGAACTATTCATATCCTTCACCGGCCGTTACAGGAGCACAAACCATGTACTACCAGCGACCGCTTCCAAACAATTTTCCGCCGCCCAATATTCCAGGTGCCTCCAATCCTTCAGCTCCGAATTCTCAAGATGCATCTCCAGTAGACCCGAACAACCCCAGCCAATGGCAACAGCAACATCAACATCATCACTACATTGCGCCGTCTTCCTCGACCAATTTTACTGGCCAGTCGCAGGATCGATACGTCTGCCAAGTGTGCAACAAAGCTTTCTCTCGACCATCAAGTTTAAGGATCCACAGTCACTCGCACACCGGTGAGAAGCCATTCTTGTGCCCCCACAAAGGATGTGGTAAAGCTTTCAGCGTGAGAAGCAACATGAAAAGGCACGAGCGAGGCTGTCACGGCGGCGGAAGCCCCGGGAGCACATAGATTCAGAGCGCATTGGAGGCCGTCATGAATTACATAGGATCCGAAGCAACGTATATACACCATACACCGGCTGGCGACGATTTCTTCTTCGCTGATCGCTTGAGGCGTCTCAAAATGTATTTTTCTATACCCTCTTGCCATGGCGAAGGCGTTTTTATGAACGGGCGTTGCCAGGAAAAAGGAGGGGCTTTGGGCCAAATTCAGAGATCACGCGCATCGAAGAGACGTATCTTGGGCGCATCAGCACCTGTAGGTGCTACCGGTCCATACGATAGAGCTAAAGCTTGTTTCTAGAGGCCATGGACATTAGAATGGCACGCCTGGTTCAGAACCATGCCGTCTATCAGACGATGCGTGCCTATTGTTCATTCGTGCGTTTCCCTCTAATTTCGCGGCCTCGAGCAAGAAAAGCACAACTCTCTGTACAGTAGATGTACGAACCAACCCAGTGCCTTGCAATCTTTTGATAATCTGATATGATTCACCTTACTTGCCATTACCAATCAAAGATTTTCCATCCCCTCTGCCGGCAAATACCATCCCTAATATTGCATGTGTCTCGTCTAACCAGGCAGTGGCTTCGCTCTCTCGCCAGTCCAATTACGGCCCTGCGAAGCTTGCAGGCCATCCGTTGAATAATCAAACCCTTGTGATACAATCTACCAGACGCCAGCCTCAACGCTTAGTACAATCCTTTCCCCGGTCGCTGCCATCTCCTGCTCATGTCAGTCTGTATGTACGCACATCTTGTCTTCGGGTGTCCGTTGGGTCGTGCACTCTGCACGATCAAGATTACTGCGCTGTGGATCATGGGTGCTGGAAATAATCGGAGATACGACGATGATAGTGGACTGTGGACATTGAAGAGTGCATGTGGCGCCTGCTGGCGGATTGGGACGACAGGAGAAAGGTGTATGGCTCAAAGGCATAACAGTTCCAAGCATGGACAGAAATCGATCTGCGGACGGGGTCGCATTTGAAGGTATTGGTGACGATATCCGATGTCGCCTGGTCACAGTCTCGTCACAATTCCCAGTCTATCGGGGACGGCAACAATGAATGGTATACAAGAATAGAAAGTATTGATTCGCCAATCGATACCCAGGTAACTCAAAAGGGCCGAAATGATGGTACATTGATGATCCCAGACTCCCAACATTTATCCAGTACAATGGGTCTGAGGTCCCTCTGGTAGCTTGCGCTAGTCCGTTCTAAAGGGTATAGATCAAACAAAATGTCCGAAAGTCCAACGCAAAGGAGAGGCCCAAAAAACAGAAAATGCTGATGGCGCCCATCGCTTGCACAAAGGAATTCATATGTTCAACATGATCGAAAATGTTACCGCCTTCCCCTTACCGCCGTCCCCCTCCCATCTACCCTTCTCTCCAAGCCCTCCACCCTTGCTCGGAAGCCTTTGACGATGTCACGTATATGACGCACTTTGTCAAACTCGGTCTCGAGGTCGTCTATCTGGCGCAAGATATCTCGAAAGCGGGCGATTTCAGCGTCGGCGGCGGCAATGGAGGACTGGGCGCGAGAGGATTGGTGGAGCGTGGAGCGTTGGGTTTGCGCTGTGAGCTAGAGAGAGATGAGCAGGCTATCGCGGAGCATGAAGAGACGAAGAGAACAGAACGGCGGAGTTACGAGAGCCAAAAGGGACAAGGCTGCGCCTTTCGCTTTGGACAGGGCTGTGAAACGTACATGATTGACCCTGCTCTGAATCGCTCCCATCAACCTCTCGAAGTGACTGCCCAATACCGCCAAACTTCCGGCATCCAATAGCAGCCGACCACCTCCCCCTTGTCCCGAGCTTGCAGCACTCGCTGCACGAGAGGTTGAAGCCGAACTGCGAGCGTGTCCGCGTCCGCGCGAGGAAGTGGTGCTGTGAGCATAATGCGGCGCGGCGCTGGAGCTACCGGAAGACAAAGCGATCTGCTGGTGTTGGCGAAGAATATGAAGCTCGGACTGGGAAAGCCCGAGTTGCGAATCCGGTATAGAGGAAGGGAGGGTAGATGGCATCGGGGGGGCTCATTACATGTTGCTTGGGTGCTGTAACTTGGAGACCGCTCGCATTGTATGGTGGTTGGAAGCTGAGACTACTTGAGGAAGACGGTGGGGTATGTTGATTTGCTTTGCTGATACGCCAGTATGTAGTTGGGCAGTAGAGAAGGTCGGAGGGTTGGGCGTCGTGAAGAGGTGCAACGCGCAGGGAGATCCAATCGTCTGGTTTGTAGGGCTGACGGCTGTGGCTTGACAAGCCTTTGCTGACCATCTAGAGTACTTCTAACTTCCTTTCCTCTCGTTGCTTCTCTTGGTTTTTGATCTACAAAATCTGCTTCAGATCCTAATACACTCAAGGGCAACTATGCCGGATGAGAAATGATGGTTATTACGTTGGCTTCATGAATGGCTTGAAGAGTACCTCTGTAGTCTCCCAAGACCTCTGAGGCGCACGAAGAAATATGGCCTGTCGCTCCAAATCAATCTAAGAGGGTGTCAGTCTTGAGGAACTCTTCCAAGGGAGCATCGCCATTCATTTGGAAGTCTTTCATTGGAGATTAGCTGCATTCCTCGAATGTTGAATCAAAGGGAATACCTATGTATAGTATCCGCTTAGCCACACGACAGGACGGATGGATTTCCGTCGAAAGTATATAAATCCCCCAAAGGTGGATGCTGATAGATACCGCAAGACCATACTTATGGTTCTCTTCATCTCTGTGACCCCGGAGGATAATCGCCGATAGTGTTCTTGTTTGTTTGGCTTCGAACCTCTCTTCGATCTGAGCGTATAAGTCGTTATTACCACAGCCAAGAAAACGGCTTCCTCCCAGCTGCGAACTTGAGGTCTTTCATGTACTCGGTTACTTTCAATCTTTACCATCAGAGTTGCCCGTCCATTGCAGCGTCTGCGAGAATCCTTCTTCTTTTCCTTATGCTTAATCTACTGACTTTAGCTTCACAAGTCCCGTCCAACAGTCGTCAAGAACTACATCCTTTGAACGATTAAGGTATCCCACAGTCGAACCCCCTGTGGGTCTTCTCCCGCCTACACCTGAAACTACACTTTTCACTATTTTCACATCACCTGAATCAATTATGTCTATCAGCTCGAATGAGAGCATTCTTGAAGATGACATTGTTCGACGACAGTCTGGGACGGGGAATGTTGAGGATCAACGGGGGGAGAATCAACCTACACGAATGCTGGTCAGAATATCGCAAGAGGGTTTCACCTCGGTCTTTCTTGGAGACGAGTTTTCTTTTGAAGGCTACAAGAACGTAAGGATCTCGATAGTACGCGCCATAGCTCAAATCACTCTCTTTTATGGATTATACAAAGCTTTCACCAGACCGCCATAGCCTCTACTTTTGTTTTTCTTTACAATGGCTCTATGCTGGACCGAAAACGGCATAAAAGCTACCGTGGGCTGCATGCAGACTCTGCCGTGGCCACTCGCCGGAACCGGTGCAAGCAACGAAACTCAAACCCTGGTAGATTTGACTCAGAGATCAAACATATACGTACGATATCCTCCCAATATCACTGTTATCAGCGCCACCAATGTCTCCGGAGGACTTGATGCTCCCGCTCTCAACCATGTTTGCCGAGCTTCAAGGGACTACCCTGACCATCATAGAGGTCTTCATCACTCTCTGCTCGACCTTGCTGACCATATGCCAGCACTCACCAACGGACGTTGTTAGCCTGTTCACAGTCAGCGAAGTCAACACGAGTACTAGACTCGACTATCTTGATCCTGAACCGCCACGAAGCTCCCCTACTCTCTTCGCCTACCAGTACGCTTCTCGAGCTCGGGGACTAATTGCTATATATATCTTCCAGCAGGGCAAGGTTGAAGACGGACGGGATAGCTGTAGGAATCGGCATGCTGTAGAAGGGCGCGATTGGCCGGCCAGGAACACTCGCTAAAGCGTAATAAACTAAGGGCTTGTGTATAACCTGATGCCAAGTGAGCCGGGAAAAGAGATTGCCTAGACGGATTTGAGACTTTGTATCTTATCATAGGTCGAGCAGGACAGAAAGAAAGCCTCAATTGTAGGTGCCAGAAAAAGTGGCAGTTGGAATGCCATGACTCGTCCAAATACTGACGAAATCATCACCAACAAGGAGCTTCCTGCGCTATTCAATGTTCTTCCTGGAAGAGATGATCTCCTATGGAGGACACATTGTTCCGGCTTGGTACCCAAATTTGACGTACAATTGAGTGAGAGGTTTCAATTCCTCAAACTACCATTTTTCTTGACGGCTCCACCAGCCTGCGTGGGTCTGCCTGAACTCGGGGATGTTACTTACCTTGGCGCGCCAAGAATTGATGACTAAGGTAATATCGCTAAGAATCTTGCCAGCACAATTGTGACTCCCATTTCCATCTTCACACCCAAAACCTTCGTCCACATCACCTCACAGCTATCGTAAGTCATGCCAAATATAGTCCATTGACAGAATTAGTAGCTTCACCTACTGCTTTAGCCCTACCCTGAGCAGCAATACTGACAGCTTCCTCGCCACTCAGGAACCCCACAAAGCGAGCCAAAGCCTTTGGAAACTCGAACAGAAGAACAAATCGAAACATGGGTAAAGTCCACGTAAGCCTACAAACCATTCTGACCCGACTGAGTAGCTACTGATTCTCACTTCTCTTCAGGGGTCGCTTGCTCGTGCAGGCAAAGTTAAGTAAGTATGATGAACAAGAGTACTCAAGACGTCCTCGTTAAGAATAAACTAGATCGCAGACTCCAAAGGTACCATACCGATCCATCCACAGCACCTCCGCTTCTCTTTCGAAGGCACTACATCTTCAAAAATGACGCATCACCCACTCCTAGCTCTCTGATGGGATGTCCCAATTTCGTACACGCACACACGCATGTGAGGGGTTGTGAGACGAGTGCTGATGAATCTGGCAACGGCAGGTCGAGCCTCAGGAGAAGAAGAAGACGCACGTCTCTCCCTTACTCTCTTCCTATCCCGATAATCTAATTCTGTCACAGACCGAAGGGCCGCGCGAAGAAGAGGTAAAAAAATGGGTCAGCAGGAACAATAGAGAATTTGAAGAGCTAAAAGATTGGCTAGAATCACCTACACTAGACGATTCGTGAATGTTACTATGACCGGTGGGAAGAGGAAGGTGCGTCAAACGAGCCGTTCCCCCTTATGGTCCATCGAAATAGTGGCTGCGTGGTGGCAGATATTCGACTAGGAAGATAGACTATTGCGTGCGAAGAAAGGAAGTTCGCTGACATGCTCGGTCGCAGATGAACCCGAACCCTACCGCTTAGATGATGGCGGGACAGTGCGGTGGAAGTGCTGGGAGGGTGATGGAGTGTATGCGAGCTTGAGGCAGAGGGAAAGGGGTGTTGCATTTTGCACGGAGGTTGTGTTCACTCATTGCATAGTGACAATGCATGTACAGGTTTTCACAAGTTTCTCGGTAACTGCACGCAAATGGTGATTGAGAAAGATCGCCGATTTTATAATGCCCAAGCCATCCTCTGGTAGTTTCATCCTCCCCGATTCCACCTGCCAGGATGCCCGAGACCCCAAGTATCATACCAGAAGCGAAAGACCGCTCAACGGCCCATAGCAATGACAACAAAAAAACACGGAGAATCATTCACTATGCCTATCAATACAGATCAACCAATACCTCAAACAAAATGGTTTCATGATGAAGTGATACCAGAGCTTTGTGCCCCTAGCTGCTGCCGCAGCGATGCTCATCTACGTTTTGAGGTAAAAGTGAGGAGCCTGCTGTCTGGCATTGTTTGGCCAAGCAACTACCACTGACAAGTCTACTCGGCGGCAGAGCTTCGCAAGGTCCCGAGCGATTATCGTGATTGGTCTTGGAAAGTGTGAAAGCGTGCGCATGCCTGTACTCGGAGCGTCGGTCGCACATCGATAGATTCTGCTTGCTTCTCCACCCCTCACCGCTCAATCAGGTCTTCGAAACGAAAGGGGCAGTCCTTCATTTCAACTCTGTTGTAATTAGTCAAGAATCATGGTTGCGCTTAGTAGACTATGGCCAGCACCGTCATGCGCATAACCTTAGTCGAAACGGATCTGAACCGGAACTAGAACCACATCTGCGACATCAACATCCAGCCAGCTGCTATCGATAGCTTGTATCGAAGAATCCACGATGAAACCTTTGGAGCTTCACCACCAAAGTCTGTCCGAAGACCTGCTTACGAAACGACGCATAGCAACCCAAAAGCGATGATTCACTTCTGCAAGGTTGTACAGACATTTCGCGATACACACTTTCGTCCATGCGCTCACTGGAGGTCCGCATCTGCGTAGATGATTGCAGGCTCGCCACCATAAAGAGGTCCGAAGTCCTCTTCCTGGACCTTCGCCAATATTGTCGGCTCTGACCACTGATCTGGTCCCTTGGTCACAAGCGAGCTGTTGGGGAGAGAGCCCCATGTGGTTGGAGCTACCCAGTGTTGTGGGGGTGAACTCGAGATCGGAACCGATAATGGCGTCATATGTGCCTCGGAAATCGATGTATTGGAAGAGTTGTTGCTCGTTTGCAATGACGGTGGATGCATATCTGATGCCCTTCTTCTGTAATCCATAGAAGCGGACTGAGGATGGTAATGGTTTTGGTTGTGGTTGTGGCCATTCAGGGAAAAGTCTTCCACAAGACCAAACGACATTGATCGCTGTGCCGAAGACCATCCAAAGTCGCTCCTCGATGGTGCAAACGATGTAAAGCTACTCCTAGCATCCGGGGGGCTGTGGATCGAACCAGTAGGCCCCGGCAGATGAGGCGAAAATCCCGGAGTCATTGGAGAGCCTGAGTGCCTTCCCCAGTAGGCATGCGTAGAATCACCGGGCGATGAATGACCCGCTGACGTCGGGCCATGGTCCAGAAAAGGCGAATCCCATGAAGGTCGATTCTGCAGTGGAACCTCAAAGGCGTTGGTGATTATCGGGCCTGCAGAGAAGAGTCAGCTGTGAGCGCTAGACGGGGTTTGGAGACGAATCACAACTCACCTCTCGTCAGCGGAGAAATTAGTCCGCTGATAGACCCTCTTGATGTGGTAAATGGAGCTGAGAGAGACGGCTGTGAAAAAGCATTGAATTCTTCGGTGCAATCCAATGAATATGGAAGATGATCTCCAGCTAAGGCAGGTGAAGAATCCGATGAACTCGACGCCATCGTGCCGGCTCTCGAGGAGGTACGAGGTCGTCTCTCGAGCTGCGGTTGCTGGTCTACAGGGAAGAAGTTACAGTCTTTCTTCAGTCGTATGCAGTTGGCACATCTGTTCTGTGGGTCGTCCGGAGCGAGCAAGCATCTTATCTTGCGCCGTCTGCAGTGTCCTGCGAATGAAACTCAGTGACACTTCTGACATGCCCATAAAAGAATACATACCGCAAGCCACAGAGGTGCGATGGTAGCCCAACTTATTTCTTCTTTTCTCTGCCAACGTCATGCTCGGATCGCCATTTGGAAAACCACGAACGTTGGGTGTTGATGCAGAGCGCTTGAGTGATGCCGAGTGTTTCCTCCGTCGTCGCTGCGAGAGCATAACGGCGGTGTTGAGGGGCATCATGGTTGGTGGCGATATGGAGATGGGATTCCCGTGGCCAAACGATGTTGATAAAGGGTCCAGCGGCGGTTGCACCTCGGGCTCCTGTACTGCTTCTTCCGGGTCTGACGCCATGACCATGTCCTTTATATTTCTTCCTTCTTGGGTAGCGAGGTCTGAGGTGGGTAGGTGAGACTGGTGTCTGGGTTTCACCCTCGAAGAGTTCCCCGCAGCCATATGAAAATAGAATAATCTGTCGACATGCGGCTTGAGATCATCTGCTGCAAGTCGAGTTTCAAGGGAGGCGGACTACCCCAAAGCTCGGATATCTCTTTCTGATTGGGCTGGGTCTAACCAGGATTGCGGGAAAAGGGAGAAACAAAACCAAACAATGCAATGTAGCAAGTTGAAGTAGTTTCGACAAAAGGAATTTTTTTATTTGGAAAACCCCAAGACAATAGTGAGGCGACGCAACGACTATATTGAAGATTGAAAGCTGCTGTGGTTCACAATGGACGGTCTTACTCGGTGACCCGCGCTAGTGGACGTAGGGTAGTGGCGGCGAACAGGAGTACAAATAATAGGGCCGCAGTTGTCCAGGCCTCTTCTGGATTGGCGTTCAGAGCAGTGTGCAGGAAATGAGAGGAAGGAATCTCCCGACTGGACCAAGTAGCGCTGCGGTTGGGCCAAGAAGTCCAAGGCCTAGCAAAGTAGAGTAGTAGTAGAGGAGGATAAGAGATGGGGGGGGGCCGAGGGGTGGGGAGGTGAAGATCCATCAATGCAGTCTTGACTTTAGTGCGGGTTCAGGGTGGCCATGTGCTTCGCAGGCATATTCCATGACTCGAAACGAAAGGAAGTTGTAAATTGAGTCGTTGAGTCGTAGAGGATTTTGCAGGGTTCCCATGATAGTGAATGTACATCAATTGTTTGGCGAAGCAGGGGAAAAGTGTAGCTGGAATCGTGATTTTTTAGGAATAGTACTTTAGTGTTGAGATGGGGTGGAAGGCATCGTAGGGATCGAATATGAAGAGAACCAACGACAGGGCTCGCTATGTTCCGCCATTTTAATCAATTCAATCAATCAATCAATCAAATCAATCAATCATGTATGTTTACCACTCGAGGCAAAGTTGTTCATTTTACCATTTTAGAGATGTAACCTGCCACTCGCTTCCTTTACTGCTAAAAGTGACTAGTGAGAAGGACTTGGCCCTCCTAGCCCTCCTACCGCCTCGTACCCCTAAGCCTCCTAGCCCTCCAAAAAACCCTCCTAGCCTTCCCTTACCAAAAAGAAAAAGGAAAAAGAAAAAAAGAAAAAAGAGTGGTAATCAGATAATCATGGGCGTTTATGTCAGGAACTAAGAAGTAAAAAAGCATGGCTACCGATGATGGTGGGGTGGAAGCTTGAATAAAGGGACTTATTTTATTGAAGCGAAAGCTGGAAGATCTTTACGCCTCTTCACTGGAAAATAGCGTATTTCACAGCTTCTCCTCAGTCCCTGCCCGTTGGCTACAAGCTAACCAATGACCACTGTATGAGTACCCTTGACTTGTAAATTCATGTACTTTAGAGTATCTCCGTGCGGGCAAGCAAAGCGTGATAAAGATCAGCACAGCAGTCTACACTCTTATCAAGCCACTATCGCTGAAGTTACCAGACAAGTACTTTTGTGCCACAGTCCAGGAGGCCAGTTAAAAGGGTACCTAAGTGGTACCCTGCATCTACAACCCATTGGGCGGTTGTTTCACTGTCGTCCATCGGACCATGACCGGAGAATTCTGCGCCTCTCCGCCGACCGCGCTGTGTCTAACCGTTAAAAATCGCTAACATCCGGTTCCTGAATGCTAGAGTCTAGATTCGATGCAAGGCATCGCTTCACTCGCTTCACGTAATAACTACCCGAGTCACTTTGGTGTGTTTGATTGATGTTTTGCGGCAATAAGGGAAGCCAAAGGCAGGATGATGATTGCGCTGCTTAATACCCCCAAGTCCAGTAGTAGAGAGGATACGAGGTGCACAGCCTTGATTGATTGATTGATGACGTTACATTGTTGCGTTTGCGGGTAATATTTCCAGAGAGTTGGAGATCTACATCTCCCACGTTAAGCAAGCACGTGAAATGATCAACGGATCGACCCCCGAGTCAAAGCTGCCTTAGACATCAGACACAAAGTATGCGCCTAGTTCCGTCACAGATATCTGTCCCTTCCTTCCAAGCGTACAAGTCAGAGTCGAGTATACCTTGCCTTTCCCCCCCCCAGTCCTTTTCGGACCTTTTCTGTGGAGGTCGGGCTTCTTGTCTCGGACACGTCGCAAATATGACGGTGGGCTTGAATCCAGGCCGAATCCATTGAAGAACGCTGTGTGTGCTTTGGCCTTGACTTGCAGTTGTGATTGCCTCTTCAATAATAATGTAATTAGATCATCCAACACGACCATCGTCGAGCTCTGGACATTGTGATTGGTGCGCCAGATAAAGTTAAGCGAACAGAACGACCAACTAGGTACTTTACTTTACTTTACTTTACTTTACCTACTTTACTTTAAGTTACTGTAGCATGCTCTCCAACCTTTTTCCTCATTCTCGGAATCTCCACATTTCGGATTTTCGGATCATTAACCGACAATACTTCTCCTTTGGTGTTATTTGTCAGCCTTAAGGGGATGATTGATTGCAGCAAAAAAAGGCTCAAGCTGCCAAGATATGCTAAAGTAGCATATCCCACTTTAACTTTACGAGCGTTGAAAAACTCTGCGAAGAATTGGCCTTTGCACCGTAATACCGTAACATCATTAAAGTAGGATTAACGATTAATGCCTCTTAATGATTTCTTTCCATGAATCACGCGGACGTGGATGTGACGGACAAGGGAGATCAAGTTGATCTACACGGATGATACTTAATATATTTGCCTCATGGAGATCGTCACCATCATTTTAAGAGGCAGGATAAGCGATAAAATGACGTTATTAGTCCCTGCTGACCACGAGCAAGACCCACACACTTCACGTGCGTGGACGATCTTGCGGAGATAGATGCCATTCCTGAATTCTGATACTTTAGGTAAAGTACACGTACTTATCTGGAAGTTGAAGCGGAAGCTGAAGCTTACTTTATAAAACCTCGCAGCTTTTACTACTTTGGATGCTGATGCCCTGTGAGAAGGTTCCTGCAAGAAGTCCCTGCTGAACCGGAGCAGCCTTCATTTAATTAGTATCATTATTATTGACTCTTACAGTATTGCCATTTTCGAACGATATCCCTGCACATCTCAATCAGTACCCCGTACTGCGCCTTGCAGATAGATACTTAAGTTTCCCCAAACCAAATCACGCCGTCACTTGGGAGACCCAGCAGCTGGAGAGCCGCAAGTTCGCCATTGTCTCCCGCTTCCGCTGCCGTCTGCGAGTGGGATGCTTTTACCGGGTGACGCAGTTCGATGAGATCTAGATAGCTTGCCTACCGAGATACAAAACCTATACTTGTAGACCATCGACGTCGACTCAATCACGGCGTAGTTCGGTCTCAAATTTCACTGGCTGGTAGCAAAGAAAATATTGGCCTTTGCACTGATGCTGCAATCGCTGGCACCACTGGAGTAGTCATCCTCGTTAGTAGGGTAAAAGATGGTGCGTCCACATAGAGTAGCGATGTTCTGACACCCCTGCAGCTAGCCTTCTAGCCAGCTGTTAGCCTGTTACGCACATTCTTTATATGGTGTTTTTTTAAAGATAATAATAATGATATGCATGCATGCATGCTCGGAGTGTAAAAGAGTGCTCCCTAACCACTCGTAGGAACTTCCACCTGCCTGATTATTTCCGGACTGGAACGTGGAACAGGAAAAGACTCTTCTTTTTTCCATTCCATCGCTCTCCGTGTGAGATACCTTCTGCATGAAGCAAGGACCAAGGTCATCGTAGATTGGCTCCCTTTGATCGACCTTCTTCTTCCCCTTCTTTTTCTTTCTCTTTATCTTCATTTCTTCTTCTTTTTACTTTTTACTTCTTTTGTTCCTGCCTTTTTCCCCTCTTTTCCTCCTATGTTTTCTTGGTGTGATCTAGAATTGCCAGGGTCGAGCAGATCCTCCAGAGCCATTCCGGAAAAGGAAACTTTCGTCTCAAAGATGGCAAAGTGCTGAGTAGAATAGTCCCCACCACCTCTCATGCGAACGGTTTCAGTACAATGACAGTGTTCCAACCAAGAATATCCACTATTCACTACTTCGCTCTATCATTGCCGCGGCTATACGATCCCCACCTTCCATTGACCGTGCATCCTGCAGGAACCCAGTTCCGTGTGGCCGCTAGGTCGTGCATTCTGCATGCTTTCGACGGGAAGTATCGTCGAGCCTAAGTACTTGTCTGACCCAGTGGGCTCAAGCCTACTGTCCCCCACGCTGCAGAAGCAGACCGGTCAACGGCCGTCTCGCACCGCCACTGCCGTACTCAATCTTTCACCCGCGCATGGCATTCCCGAGATCTCCACGTCGCATATCGCATATACAGAATTCTCCTAGAACCTTCCCATTCCACGAATACCTGAAACCACGGGACTCCTTTCGGGTGATCAACAAGCAACCACTTCATCTTCAACGATTCTTCGTGCCCGTCCACCATCATTCCTAGGCGCGACTCATCATTACAAACATTGACGACGCGTTGTTTCGATATGGTCGAGATCTGGGTAGCGAGCTTCAGGGGCCATGTTCCTTTCCTCTCGACGACGGTCGATCTTCATCCATCGTCCGTTTGGAATGAGATCGAGACTTGTTCTCAGACCACTATAGTCAGTGATCGAAGCACATCTACCCTATCCTATCCGAAAGCTTCGATGATCAAGTTTCCGTTGACAGTGTTAACGCATTAAAGTCCTTGAGTCGCGTCTTCACGATCTCACTTTCATCCTATGCAATTGTCTTGCTTGCATGCATGTCTCATTTTCGATGTCGTGATGTTGTGATGTCGTGCGTAGTCATATGGATCTTCGAGCAGTGTTGACTATTTGGGCCGGATGAAAATAGCACATCAGCTTGAAGATCTCGACAGTACCGGTCTGTGCCTTGGCCTAAAGAGGGACATGACACCATCTTGGGTACCAGATTTTCGATTGTCTCGAAAATGCACTTTTATTAAAAAT